AAGGTTCTCGCCTATGGTACCAACTCCTACTTGGTCCTACTTGGTTTCAGCTACTCACTGCACGAGCAACGGAGCATTAGCCATCCATCCACGGATTCCCAATCTCTCCCAATCCCCCTCCCCAGGTTAGACTGGACTTAAGGTTCGGCTACACTCCCCGCAAGCACAAGCAGCCAAGCACACCAAGCCTCAAGGTTTCTAACATCCCTTGGTACAACAAGACTTGATCATGGGACCCTCTAAATCCCAAGCCTTAGGTGCAACACTTGCTTCGGGACATCGGGGCGAAACACTGTGGCCTAATGGTGCGGTATGGGTACCTCTACCCCCCCACTTCTATCCTGAAGGGAAGGCCCAAGTCCCTAGGAAGGGCAAGGACCAATGAGCCACAAGGTACTCAAGTGGGGCACCACTCCACATGAGCTGGGAGCACCGCAGCACCATAGTTAGAAGGCCCATAGTCTTGTACATAACCTCAAAGGCCAAGATAGACTCTACAAATTTTAAAGCCACACATTAAAGTGCATTCGACTTAATTTCTAAATAGAATTTTGACTCTGCTTAGTTCTCCCTTCCAGCTTAAAAGCTGGAACAAGCTAGGAACTTGATCATCTCCTTTGAAGAGCCTTCGAAGAACAGCCTGGAGCCCCCCCCCCCCCCCCCCCCTGGGAGATGCACGCTTTGGGCTTTCACCCCTTGACCCGTATTAGTATTTGGACTTAGTCTCTGGCTCGATCTCGGACTCGATTTCGGATCCGACTTCGGATTCGGTCTCGGATTCGATCTCGGACTCAATCTCGGACCCGATCTCAAACCCGACCTCGGACTCAACCTCGGACTCAGTCTTGGACCCAATTTCGGATCTCGGACTCCGTCTCGAACTCGGTCTCAAACTCGGTCCCCGAGTCAGCCTCGGACTCGATTCTGGACTCTATCTCGAACTCGGTCTCCGAGTTGGTCTTGGACTCGATCTTCGATTTGGTCCCATCCGATGAACTCTTTGTCATTTTGGTCATGCTTTCGGGGTTCCTTTAGCCTACGACACCTCAGCGAGTTGGTTCCTTACAGGGTTATCTATCCTTAAATGTATTATTGCTCAAAAAAATCAACACAAAAATAAATTGATTTCCTTAATGCAACACATGTACTTCATTGTGAATAAGGGATTACCTTTACAAAGCTATAAATCTTTGTGTGAATTTAATAGGTTTATAGAAATGCCCTATATGCCAATCACTATAGAGTATAGGACTTATATGAATGCTATGAGTGGGAAAGAGTTTGTAAAATGCAAAAAAGATGTGTGATGGAAAGATGTTTGCCAAAATATTTAAGCTAGTCCTTACTTTTCTATTATGGTGGATAACAATACTGATAGAAGTTTGGAAGCTCATCTTATCATATACATCTCTTTCCATATGTAAGAAAAAGAAAAAAGTCTGAATAAAACTTGCTTTTTCAAATTGATGGTAACTAAAGGTTGTAAATAAATATGAAGCCATCAAAAAGGTTTTGGAAGAAATGAACTTTAAAAAGGGAAAATGTGTTGTTATTGGAACTGATGGAGCTTTTATTATGGTTGGAAAATAATTTGGTCTAGTGACAATATTGAAACATAACATTCCACACTTGTTTGGAATGCATTGTTTAGCGCATAGATAAAGTTTAGTGGCAAGTTGTGCATGCATTTCTTAAACTTATGATTTTTCAAAAGCTATGCAATCAAATTTATAAATGGTTGCATACTTTTAAAAAAGAGTCATAGCTTTTAAGCCTCTAAAAGATGCTATAAATATATTTACATAGGTATGTTTCAAATTCATAATATATGTTAGTTATTTCATGGGGAAGTCTTAAAGAGATTGATCATTTATTCATATGCTACCTTATATACTTCTGGAATTGAATAGTTTGAACAAAATCTTTTAAAGTTGAAATTGTGGATATTGCTAACATTGCTAGGTATTTAGATGGTACTTTGAAAAGTATCTAAAGAAAATTTCTGAAAGAGACTTTTAGTGTGAAACACTTGAGTAATTTTGTGGAGGCTACTAAAGATGAATTTATCAAGTTTATAAATGCTAAAGGGGAATAACAAAAGCATGCCTTAGATTATACTCCTATTCCAGAGAGCAAAAGAGATGAGAGCTTGAGCTCTTGCTTAGATTTAAACAAAGAATGTATTCAGAAATTATACATTAATATGCTGGCCAGAATGGGAAAGGATATAGGCATATTCAATGCTACAAAATTGTTTAGCCCAAAGAATTACTCAAATGATAAAGAAAAATTGGATAACAACTTTTACAAATGGCTAAATATTTTACTGAACTAGTATGGTGCTTTTGTTGATGGGGAAAAATGTAAAGGAGAATTCACAAAGTTTGTAACTACTATGCAAAGTAATCTGTTAATAAAAAATGAGCTAGTGGCTTAGTAAATATGCAGAGATGATATTTCCATGATAGATATATATTCTAATTTGATGGAACTATGGAAAATTATCTCTTTGATACCTATGAGCACTACTTGTGCTAAAGGTGGATTTTTTTATCAAAATCAGTTAAAAACTACTTCAAAATGCTCTTTAAAGATTGAAACTTTAGATGATTTGATGTTTATCTATTTAAATGGTGATAATGACTACAACAAGATCAATTAGGGGCATGTTTATGATGCATGTCATCAAAAAAAGGAAACAAAGATTTTGTGTGATTGAATTAATTGTATTAAAAATTTTTTTATATATAAATATCTATATATTGGGAGGTATAAATTAATTTTTATCTTGCACAATGAAAGACAATTGTAATATTCACAAGAAGGAAAAGAAAGTTTGCCCTGCAAATTTGAGACAATTGTAGCAGTGGCAATAGTGTTCAGTAGCAATCTGCCCTGTCCAAGCTTTGCGTTCATTACACCACTTCGTAGTACTACTCCTCGAGCCAACACAAGGTTCTTAAGTATAAGATAGAAACATCACTACGTGAGAAGGAATACTCCAGTTTTTTCTTTCCCACCACCTAAGCCTAGTAAGTGGCAAACTATATGACCTGGTTGAAAGGGAGAGTTCTGCACAGTACACACTAAAAGATGGCCATGCTGTGTGTTTGAAGCCGACTTTTCTCTAGGCCTGGAAGAAGAAGCTTTAAGTTTATGGAGAATTTATAGAGCAAGAGTACGAGATACAACAGGTTTCTATATACTATTATTCCCTTCCACGGCTGTGCAATAGTTTGTTGTGCAACAGTAGAAAGGGCGCTACCGAGACGAAGAAAACAGTCTTGTGTGTGTCAGATCATTGTTGTCAAACAATATTGATCGATCTGGAATGGCAGCACTAGTGCCAGATCGCTCCAGTTTCCCGTCTGACCGTTTGTCGTGTGAAAGTTTTAGCTCTTTGAAGTTGCTCTCTCCACTCATCTTCACGGACAGCAGTAATTAGCTCCTTTCTTCGTCTTCTTCATTGATTCTTCTTCACTTTCTTCTCTACCTTTTCTTTCTTCCTCCTGTGTAGTTCGTGCTGCTTCTGTGGAGCACACCAGCCCAAGCTATACCACAAAGTCCATCCTACTGTAGCGATAGTCATCAACAGTATAGTGGTCATGTTCTTGAGAGATCCTACCGCAATTTAACGAGCGAGAAAGGGAGTGATGTTTGCATGGCGGGACAAGCAACAGGTTTTTTAGATCCCTATACGAGTCTCTAGCTTCCTTTCGTCGAGGGGTCAAAAGATTCAAGCTTTGCTCTTGGTCCTGGTCCCTTGTGTGTCTGAAGCATCTATCTCATAGCTAGAAACATTTGCAAGAGACCAGCAGAGCGGAAAACATTGATTTAAAACAAACATCTCGTATATAACACCCAGCGTATTCTTCTCGTCCCAGTCGAACTTCATCCTGTGTTCTTCCCAAAGCTTCCACAGGCATTTTCTAGTTTCTTCATTTTCTTGTTGGTGGTGCCATGCAGATGGGTCGATCTCCTTGCTGCGAGAAAATCGGTCTCAACAGGGGCCCATGGACTCGTGAAGAAGACACGCTCCTCACGCTGTAATGTCAACGAGCACGGCGAAGGGTCTTGGAGAACGCTTCCAATGGCCGCAGGTTTGATCCGCCCAAATCTCATTCCACTCCTTGTCTCTACATTCTCTAAGATTTTTTGTCGTGGTTGCTAGATTCCCTCTAGACAAGCCATGTTTGCGTCGTAGCTAGTTAGAACGTCCCTATTCCCTTATATACTCCGCTCAAGCTTGATGTTTGCAGTGTCTTTGTCGCATCTTGCAGCACTGTCAAACAAAGCACTCGTTTTTTATTGATTCGCTCGTGACGAGCCGCTTGAAGTGCTCAGAAGGCTCGTGCTATCATAGATTCGCTCGTGATGAGTAGCTTGAAGTGCTCGGAAGGCTCGTGCTATCATAGAACGAAAGTAGTAGTTTTCTTGCTTATGCCAGCAACATGAGAAAGACATTCAAGCGGCTTTGAAGTCGTCAATACCACGGTCACCAGAATGCCCAGAATGCCCAGAACTCCTTGAACACTAAACATGGATTCGTGGAACAGCAGAAAGTTTCAAGGGGCACAGTCTGCCGGTGCCCCCAAGAGTACCGAGGTAACCATTCAAGTTCCTTCTTCCGGCTCTGCTCTCGCTTCTCCAACTTCTCCACCTTCAAGCACTAGAACCCCATATACCAGTGAGTTGTGGTCGGCTTTTTCCCCACATCCGGAGGTCGAGCAGCAGCCTTCCACTCCCAAGCCTTCAGCTCCAGAGCTGCAGCAGCTTTCCACTTTTTTCCGCTATCCCTGGAGGCCCTCACTGCTCTTTTAGCCGCAAGAGAGGAGGAAGTGCTAGAAGTCCCCAACAGGCTAGCCGTGGACCACAGGATATGCGTGCGAATCGGTAACACCAGCGGACTTATCTCCATCCTGGTTTAAAAGACGCACAATTTTACTGGCTCGACTCTAAGGAGAGAAACCAGGCTATCCTATGGCTGGTGAGTATGTTAGTTGTTACAGTCGCTCGTCGATTGTTCTTTTGATTCAGCTCGTGTTTCTCTATCCAGCAATTTATAGAAATTCGCTGTGTTGTTGGAAACATTGCTCGCTTGCAGCACGAAGACTGGCACTTCCCCAGAGCACAAACGTCGAGAGAAGCAGGAGAGGAGGAAGTGCTAGAAGTCCTCAACAGTCCTCAATTAAGAAAGATTTATACCAGGGAGTTGACGCCATGGTCTGTGGGAGTCAGGATCATCAGCCTCATTTTGTACATCCTTCAACTACTAGTCAGTGTCCCGAGGCACAAAAGGAGCTCCTCGACAACTTGATGGCAAGGGACATGAAATGCTTAGCTCGCAAAGAACTTGTTTCATTTCCACCATTTGCTTTTCTAGACACGCAAAAAAGTGTTTAAGCTCGCCATCACCTAGCACAAAAATCACGTTCGAATATCACATGAAATGCCAAGGCTCTGTACCTCAATCTTCGATCAGTCCTCAAACACGTGGGTAGTGTGATCCACAACCTGCAAATAAAAAGAACATAAAAAGGGAGAAAACATAGCTCGATCGAATGATCTTACGTTGGTGTCACTGAGCTCCAAGCTGTAGAAGACCATCGAATCTCGATCACCAAAGAGAGGACCAGCGTGCCAAGTTCCTTCGTTTAGCTTGATGAAGCGAGGACCATCTATCTTGAAAACCTGGACGCTTGCATGAGAGGGAGGTAAATAGGAGTGGCCACCAGCGTTGGATCGAACAGCGCCCTCGTGTTGCGATGAAGGATCCACAATGCTGGGAAGAGAGACCGCCATGTACCAAGGATGAGCTCCCACTGATCCCAGACACTGCGTGACCCTGGCGTGATGCGTTATCCTTTTGAATCGCAGCCCCGTTTTCTTGAGCTCCATGAGGTAGAATCTGCGCAAAAGAACCATCACTCACTCAATCACTATCGAGCCACTGGAAATTTCGGCCACATTTTGCCTGCACTACCTGGGAATCCCATTCGCGAGATTGAGCTGCGCGTCTCCCGATCCATACTCGCATCCGTCGCCGATCTTTCCCAGGAGCTGGCCAAAAGGCCGGAAATTCACCTCCGTGATCGGCACTGCTCGCAGCTTGAGCCCCATCGAAGAACCCTAGCCCTGGCAATATCGCCCAGCGCAGGAATCGAACCCCAAAGTTAACGGTCCATTGGTCAACGATAGTCAATTGTGGTCAACAGTGTCCAAACGACATCTATCCGCTACGGGCACTGAAACTTAAAGCGTAGAAAGGATATAAGCTATTGTAGCAGCGAATTTATGGCCAGAGAAACTTAAGGGGACAGCAACATTCTTAGATTTTTTCTCATTTTCTTCACTTTGTTCTTGGTTGTGGGCTATTTAATCTTTGAACTGGCAATGCAGATGCCATGGTACAAGTTTAAGATGCCATCACGAAGCATTTACGATCACTGTGAAGTGCATGAAGGAACTTACAGCAATATCTCAACATCCTCATAAGCTCTCCTATAGCGACAGTCTCTTTAGAACTGTGGCACCCAAATCACATTTAGGGATGACAATGTAGGCCTCAATTTTGCACCTTGCAAAGCCCTGCAAAGGCATGTTTACTTTGCATTTGAAGGCTGATTTCTAATTTATGTTGCGACTTGAAAGAAATGTTCAATTTTCACCTTGCACTAATGAAGTATAGAAATATTTTAGTGTTGCCACTTGCTGGGCAAAGAAAATTCGTACATTGCAGTACAGATAATATTCTATCAACTATTATTAAGAATATTGTAAAAATATCCTAGTGTTTAACAACCTGCCCTAGACCTAATCCATGTCAACTTCATTGAATTCAAATGGGAAAGCAGCGATAGTGACAACAACAACATAGGATTGAAGCATTTTTTGCTATTGCCTATGAGAGGGAGAAAAGAAATATAAATTAACAAAATATTGCAAGGCAAGAGCTTTATGATTCCTTTTTTGGTGAAAGATTTAAAATCAGATTAGAGGATGAACATCTTTCAACAACAGAAGAAGAAACCAATACTACAACCAATAAAAAGAGGAAAAAGAATAAAACATTTAGAACTAAGTGGAAACTTAGTTTTCCTTAGGTGTATATTGTGATAGATGTTGAAGGCAATTAAAGAATAATATATGTATATGCTAAAAAGGATAATTTTTTTGGTAAGGATGGTTCTTTGACTTTTCAAAAACCAATTTTAAAATAGCATAACAATTCCAAACAACATCAACTAGCTATGGTTATTTGGAAAGTAAAGAAGAAGAAAGGGTTATCTATCCTTAAATATATTACTGCTCAAAAAGATCAACACAAAAATAAATTGATTTCCTCATGTACTTCATTGTGAATAAGGGATTACCTTTACAAAGCTATAAATCTTTGTGTGAATTTAATAGATTTATAGAAATGCCCTATATGCCAATCACCATATAATATAAAACTTATATGAATGCTATGAGTGGGAAAGAGTTTGTAAAATGCAAAAAAGATGTGTGATGGAAAGATGTTTGCCAAAATATTTAAACTAGTCCTTACTTTTCTATTATGATGGATAACAATACTGATAGAAGTTTGGAAGCTCATCTTATCATATACATCTCTTTCCATATGCAAGAAAAAGAAAAAAGTCTGAATAAAACTTGCTTTTTCAAATTGATGGTAACTAAAGGTTGTAAATAAATATGAAGCTATCAAAAAGGTTTTGGAAGAAATGAACTTTAAAAAGGGAAAATGTGTTGTTATTGAAACTGATGGAGCTTTTATTATGGTTGGAAAATAATTTGGTCTAGTGACAAGATTGAAACATAACATTCCACACTTGTTTGGAATGCATTGTTTAGCGCATAGATAAAGTTTAGTGGCTATTGAAGTTGTGCATGCATTTCTTAAATTTATGATTGTTCAAAAGCTATGCAATCAAATTTATAAATGGTTGCATACTTTTAGAAAAAGAGTCATAGCTTTTAAGCCTCTAGAAGATGCTATAAATATATTTACATTAGGTATGCTTCAAATTCACAATGTATGTTTGTTATTTTATGAGGAAGTCTTAAAGAGATTGATCATCTATTCATATGCTGCCTAATATACTTCTGGAATTGAATAGTTTGAACAAAATCTTTTAAAGTTGAAATTATGAATATTGCTAACATTGCTAGGTATTTAGATGGTACTTTGAAAAGTATCTAAAGAAAATTTCTGAAAGAGACTTTTAGTGTGAAACACTTGAGTAATTTTGTGGAGGCTACTAAAAATGAATTTATCAAATTTATAAATGCTAAAGGGGAATAACAAAAACATGCCTTAGATTATACTCTTATTCTAGAGAGCAAAAAAGATGAGAGCTTGAGCTTTTGCTTAGATTTAAACAAGGAATGTATTCAGAAATTACACATTAATATGCTGGCCAGAATGGGAAAGGATATAGGCATATTCAATGCTACAAAATTGTTCAGCCCAAAAAATTACTCAAATGATAAGGAAAAATTGGATAACAACTTTTACAAATTGCTAAATATTTTACTGAACTAGTATGGTGCTTTTGTTGATGGGGAAAAATGTAAAGGAGAATTCACAAAGTTTGTAACTATTATGCAAAGTAATCTGTTAACAAAAAATGAGCTAGTGGCTTGGGAAATATGCAAAGATGATATTTCCATGATAAATATATGTTCTAATTTGATGGAACTATGGAAAATTATCTCTTTGATACTTGTGAGCACTACTTGTGCTAAAGGTGGATTTTTTTATCAAAATCAGTTAAAAACTACTTCAAAATGCTCTTTAAAGATTGAAACTTTAGATGATTCAATGTTTATCTATTTAAATGGTGATAATGACTACAACAAGATCAATTAGGGGCATGTTTATGATGCATGTCATCAAAAAAAGGAAACAAAGATTTTGTGTGATTGAATTAGTTGTATTAAAAAGTTTTTTGCATATAAATATCTATATATTGGGAGGTATAAATTAATTTTTATCTTGCACAATGAAAGTCAATTCTAATATTCACAAGAAGGAAAAGAAAGTTTGCCCTGCAAATTTGAGGCTTGTGGCAGTGGCAATAGTGTTCAGTAGCAGTCTGCCCTGTCCAAGTTTTGCATTCGTTACACCACTTCGTAGTACTACTCCTCGAGCCAACACAAGGTTCTTAAGTATAAGATAGAAACATCACTACGTGAGAAGGAATACTCCAGTTTTTTCTTTCCCACCACCTAAGCCTAGTAAGTGGCAAATTATATGACCTGGTTGAAAGGGAGAGTTCTGCACAGTACACACTAAAAGATGGCCATGCTGTGTGTTTGAAGCCGACTTTTCTCTAGGCCTGGAAGAAGAAGCTTTAAGTTTATGGAGAATTTATAGAGCAAGAGTACGAGATACAACAGGTTTCTATATACTATTATTCCCTTCCACGGCTGTGCAATAGTTTGTTGTGCAACAGTAGAAAGGGCGCTACCGAGACGAAGAAAACAGTCTTGTGTGTGTCAGATCATTGTTGTCAAACAATATTGATCGATCTGGAATGGCAGCACTAGTGCCAGATCGCTCCAGTTTCCCGTCTGACCGTTTGTCGTGTGAAAGTTTTAGCTCTTTGAAGTTGCTCTCTCCACTCATCTTCACGGACAGCAGTAATTAGCTCCTTTCTTCATTGATTCTTCTTCGTTTTCTTCTCTACTTTTTCTTTCTTCCTCCTGTGTAGTTCGTGCTGCTTCTGTGGAGCACCAGCCCAAGCTATACCACAAAGTCCATCCTACTGTAGCGATAGTCATCAACAGTATAGTGGTCATGTTCTAGATCCTACCGCGATTTAACGAGCGAGAAAGGGAGTGATGTTTGCACGGCGGGACAAGCAGGGCACAGGTTTTTTAGATTTCTATACGAGTCCCTAGCTTCCTTTCGTTGAGGGGTCAAAAGATTCAAGCTTTGTTCTTTTCTCATGAATATTTTTTCCTTGTCCTGGTCCGTTGTGTGTCTGAAGCATCTATCTCATAGCTAGGAACATTTGCAAGAGACCAGCAGAGCGGAAAACATTGATTTAAAACAAACATCTCGTATATAACACCCAGCGTATTCTTCTCGTCCCAGTCGAACTTCATCCTGTGTTCTTCCCAAAGTTTCCACAGGCATTTTATAGTTTCTGTTCTTCTTTATTCTTGTTGGTGGTGCCATGCAGATGGGTCGATCTCCTTGCTGCGAGAAAATCGGTCTCAACAGGGGTCCATGGACTCGTGAAGAAGACACGCTCCTCACGCAGTATGTCAACGAGCACGGCGAAGGGTCTTGGAGAACGCTTCCAATGGCCGCAGGTTTGATCCGCCCAAATCTCATTCCACTCCTTGTCTCTACATTCTCTATGATTTTTTGTCGTGGTTGCTAGATTCCCTCTAGACAAGCCATGTTTGCGTCGTAGCTAGTTACAACGTCCCTATTCCCTTATATACTCCGCTCAAGCTTGATGTTTGCAGTGTCTTTGTCGCAACTTGCAGCACTGTCAAACAAAGCACTCGTTTTTTATTGATTCGCTCGTGACGAGTCGCTTGAAGTGCTCAGAAGGCTCGTGCTATCATAGATTTGCTCGTGATGAGTAGCTTGAAGTGCTCGGAAGGCTCGTGCTATCATAGAACGAAAGTAGTAGCTTACTTGCTTATGCCAGCAACATGAGAAAGACATTCAAGCGGCTTTGAAGTCGTCAATACCACGGTCACCAGAATGCCCAGAATGCCCAGAACTCCTTGAACACTAAACATGGATTCGTGGAACAGCAGAAAGTTTCAAGGGGCACAGTCTGCCGGTGCCCCCAAGAGTACCGAGGTAACCATTCAAGTTCCTTCTTCCGGCTCTGCTCTCGCTTCTCCAACTTCTCCACCTTCAAGCACTAGAACCCCATATACCAGTGAGTTGTGGTCGGTTTTTTCCCCACATCCGGAAGTCGAGCAGCAGCCTTCCACTCCCAAGCCTTCAGCTCCAGAGCTGCAGCAGCTTTCAACTTTTTTAAAGTCTTCAGCTCCAGTGAAAAGGAATAATTCCCGATCACCAGAGCAGCTCAATCTGATAGCTTTCAGGCTCGCAGTTCTTGAAAAGTTCGCCACTGGCCTCGGGAAACTGGCCTTCGTCTGGGCAACTGTTGTTCTCCTCGGTGGATTCGTGACCAACATTCAGGCCAAAGACTTTTGGACGATATCGGCCTTGCTGCTGACTGAAGGAACGCGGGTTTTCAGTCGAAGTAGCGAGTTGGAATGGCAGCAGGCAAATTACAGCTTGGGAATTCTCGGCTTCAAATCGTTCGTGTCCGACAAGAGCGCCAGATTATGGGAGAAGTTCTCTGGAGTCTTGGACCATGACCACTCTGAACAGAACGTTAGCAGAGATCGACTTTCCAAAAAACCAGTAAAGAAATATTTACACCAGGGATTCGCTGCCAGAAGAACTTCGTCCGCCACCAGGATCATCAGCCTTTTCATGTACTTCCTCCAGCTTGCTTCCGCAACAGTCACCGTATGTTTCTCAGTATATCGACTTGCCGTGCACGACTTCAATGGCGAAGGAAAAAACACTAAGCAAGCACTTATGGTGTTTTACGCGATGATGCTGGCAGAAACGTCGCTATTCCTCCTGGAGAGAGCATATTGGGAATTCAAGCTTCGTTACCAGAGGTTGCTGGAAGTAGTCACTCGAACGTGTGAGCTTGATCAAGACGACATTGAAACCATGAAGCAGTACTGGTACACATTGTACTCACGATCGCTGAACGGAAGCGTGTTTGATGGCCTGGGAATGGACCTTATCGATTTCACCGTCGAGAAGCTGCAGTCAAGCATAAGGGAAGAGCAGCTCGGTAGCGTCAACATACTGTCAGCTCTTGTCTCAAAAGGAGATTCAATGGAAGAAACGCAACGGAGGATTGGTACCACGCCCGGAGTTGTGGAGAGACTCTTAGAGATGATCACCTGGAAGGATCCTAGTGAGGCCGAAATCAGGAAAGCTGCAACGATAGTAATCAAGCACCTGGTTCGTCACAGCCATAACTGCTTCAGGATTTCCGCTATCCCTGGATCCCTGGAGGCCATCACTTCTCTTTTAGCCGCAAGAGAGGAGGAAGTGCTAGAAGAAAAGAGCTACAGACTCACTATCCTCAACGGGCTAGCCGTGGACCACAGGATATGCGTGCGAATCGGTAACACCAGCGGACTTATCTCCATCCTGGTTGAATTTATCCAAGACGAAGAAACGTCGAAAGAAGTATTCCGTCAATCACTCGATCTTTTGAAGACATTGGCTAGCGTGCGAGGAGATTCTGGACGGTCTCTGCGAAAGAAGATGGTGTCGGTAGTGCCAGCAGTAAGAAGTCTTCAAAGGATATGCAATCTCGAAGATTTGGAGCTACAAGACCTGGCAGTCGACGTGATCAAGCTGCTAGCAACCGAGGACGAGCTTAGAGATTGCATTGGTGCGACTGGAGGAGTTATCCAAAGCTTGATGGCCATATTTACGAGAGAAACCGCACCGAACAGCGACCAGTTGACCATCGCCATGAGAGCCGGGGAAGCCATAATTGTGCTCGTTTTCCAGTGTCCCAACAATTGCTCGAGGCTCCTCATGCACAAAAGCTGCAGACAAGGTGGCGTTAGCAAGACCCTCAAGAGCTTGATCAACATGCTCACCAAGCCAGTTGGAGTCCATGCAGCCACAATTTTGCAAAGCTTGTGCGGTGACCTTAACGACGAAGAAAAGTTGGAGCTTGGAGCAGCCATATCTCGCATCATCCAGATGGTGCTGGAATCCACGGACAAGGAACAGCAGGCAGCCATCGGTTTGGCAGCAGCCATAATCCCCTGGCTCGACAGACGGAACTTTGAACAAGGCGTGCTATCGCAACAATCACGGCTTTGCGAAAAATTCACAGAGCTTCTATCCCACACAGCACCTTCTAGGAGCTTGAATCGTATCCGGCGATATAGCGTAGAGCTTCTGAACAGCTTGGTGGCAAAGGACGCCAGGTTCTTGCGACGTTTTAGAGAAGACGGTGAAATGGAGGCGTCCCTGGAAGCAATGTTAGCGACTGCCTCAGACGAAGAAAACTTCTTAACGTTTTCGGGTTTTGTGGGACTTACCAAGCATTCCAGCAGCCTCGAGGAGCTCGTCAACAGCGCCCTATTGAACTTACATAGGCTGTAGCTTCACCTTTTCCAAAAAAAAAGAGCCTCGAATGTGTCATGCTGTCAAGAATAAAATACAAATTCAGTTTCAGCAACTTGCTCACGTAAACTCTAAAAAAGAAAGAAAAAATTCAATTAACATCCAAAGAAGAAGAAGCTTACTTCATAGGAGATCCGAACTCTCAGCAACTTCGCTTACGCAATTGTAATTCACTAACTGAACTCTAAATAGGAAAGAAAACATTAATCAACATGAAAAATAAAGCTTCCTTTACTTCATAGAAGATCTCCTTTCTGAAATTGTGGTCACCACTACGCTGTTTCGAAACTTTCCAAGCATAGAGTTCGTACTTTTCCGCTGTCACAAAAGTTACATTATTAGAATCAGAACGACGAAGAGGTGAAATACAAGAAGTTTCAGGAGCAGCAAAACCTTTCAAAGGATATCATCCACCGCTCGAGTTTGTGACCTACATCAAGAAGAAAGACTTCTGGAACATTTCCATCTTGCTGTTGACTGAGGGAACCCAAGTTCTTGGCGGAAGTAGCGAGCTGGACTGGCAGGAGGCAAATTACATGAATACTCTCAACATCCGCTCGCTTGTGTTTGACAGAAAGCAGGCGGCTTTTGACCATAATCAGCACCCTGCACAGAATTCTAACAGTGTTACAGTTCAATTAAGAAAGATTTATACCAGGGAGTTGACGCCATGGTCTGTGGTAGTCATCCCGTTCGTAAATTTTCTTCCGACCAGGATCATCAGCCTCATTTTGTACATCCTTCAACTACTAGTCAGTGTCCTGAGGCACAAAAGGAGCTCCTCAACAACTTGATGGCAAGGGACATGAAATTCTTAGCTCGCAAAGAACTTGTTTCATTTCCACCATTTGCTTTTCTATGCCATATGGCTATTTGGGAAGCAAAGGGTTATTTATCCTTAAATATATTACTCCTAAAAAATATCAACACAAAAATAAATTGATTTCCTTAATGCAACACATGTATTTCATTGTGAATAAGGGATTACCTTTACAAAGCTATAAATCTTTGTGTGAATTTAATGCCTTATATGCCAATCACCATAGAGTATAGGACTTATATGAATGTTATGAGTGGGAAAGAGTTTATAAAAAAGATCTGTGATGGAAAGATGTTTACCAAGATATTCAAGCTAATCTTTACTTTTCCATTATGGTGGATAACAATATTGATAGAAGTTTGGAAGTTCATCTTATCATATACATCTCTTTCCATATGCAAGAAAAAGAAAAAAGTCTGAATAAAACTTGCTTTTTGAAATTGATGGTAATTAAAGGATGTAAATAAATATGAAGCCATCAAAAAGGTTTTGGAAGAAATGAACTTTAAAAAGGGAAAATTTGTTGCTATTGGAACTAATAGAGCTTTTATTATAGTTGAAGAACAATTTAGTCTAGTGACAATATTGAAACATAACATTCCACACTTGCTTAGAGTGCATTGCTTAGCACATAGATAAAGTTTAGTGGCTATTGAAGTTGTGCATGCATTTCCTAAGCTTATGATTCTTCAAAAGCTCTACAATCAAATTTATAGATGGTTGCATACTTCTAGAAAAAGAGTCATGGCTTTTAGGCCTCTAAAAGATGCTATGAATATATTTACATTAGGTATGCTTCAAATTCACAATGTACGTTGGTTATTTCATGGGGAAGTATTAAAGAGATTGATCATCTATTCATATGCTGCCTAATATACTTCTGGAATTGAATAATTTGAATAAAATCTTTCAAAGCTGAAACTGTGGATATTACTAGCATTGTTTGGTACTTAGATGGTACTTTAAAAAATATCAAAATAAAATTTCTGAAAGAGACTCTTGTTGTGAAACCCTTGAGTAATTTTGTGGAGGCTACTAAAGATGAATTTATCAAATTTATAAATGCTAAAGGGGAATAACAAAAACATGCCTTAAATTATACTCCTATTCCAGAAAGCAAAAGAGATGAGAGCTTGAGCTTTTGCTTAGATTTAAACAAGGAATGTATTTAGAAATTATACATTGATATGCTGGCCAGAATGGGAAAGGATATAGGCATATTCAATGCTACAAAAATTTTCAGCCCAAAGAATTACTCAAATGATAAGGAAAACTTGGATAACAACTCTTATAAATGGCTAAATATCTTTCTGAACCAATATGGTCCTTTTGTTGATAGGGAAAAATGTAAAAGAGAACTCACAAAGTTTGTAACTATTATGCAAAATAATCTGTTAACAAAAAATGGGTTAGTGGCTTGGCAAATATGCAAAGATGATATTTCTATAACAGATATATATTCTAATTTGATGGAATTATCTCTTTGATACTTGTGAGCATTATTTGTGCTGAAGGTGGATTTTCTTATCAAAATCAATTAAAAACTACTTCAAAATTCTTTCTAAAGATTGAAACTTTAAATGATTTGATATTCATCTATTTAAATGGTGATAATGACAACAACAAGATCAATTAGGGGCATGTTTATGATGCATGGCATCAAAAAAAGGAAAAAGGATTTTGTGTGATTGAATTAGTTGATAAATATTTATATATTGGGAGGTATAAATTAATTTTTATCTTGCACAATGAAAGACAATTGTAATATTCACAAGAAGGAAATGAAAATTTGCCCTACAAAATGTTAAACTTAATTGCCCTGCAAATTTGAGGCTTGTGGCAGTGGCAATAGTGTTCAGTAGCAGTCTGCCCTGTCCAAGCTTTGCGTTCGTTACACCACTTCGTAGTACTACTCCTCGAGCCAGCTCAAGGTTCTTAAGTATAAGATAGAAACATCACTATGTGAGAAGGAATACTCCAGTTTTTTCTTTCCCACCACCTAAGCCTAGTAAGTGGCAAACTATATGACCTGGTTGAAAGGGAGAGTTCTGCGCAGTACACACTAAAAGATGGCCATGCCGTGTGTTTGAAGCCGACTTTGGAAGAAGAAGCTTTAAGTTTATGGAGAATTTATAGAGCAAGAGTACGAGATACAACAGGTTTCTATATACTATTATTCCCTTCCATGGCTGTGAGATAGTTTGTTGTGCAACAGTAGAAAGGGCGGTACCAAGACGAAGAAAACAGTCGTGTGTGTGTGAGATCATTGTTGTCAAACAACATTGATCGATCTGGAATCGCAGCACTAGTGCTCCAGTTTCTCGTCTGACCGTTTGTCGTGTGAAAGTTTTAGCTCTTTGAAGTTGCTCTCTCCACGCATCTTCACGGACAGCAGTAATTAGCTCCTTTCTTCGTCTTCTTCATTGATTCTTCATCGTTTTCTTCTCTACTTTTTCTTTCTTCAACCTGTGTAGTTCGTGCTGCTTCTGTGGAGCACCAGCCCAAGCTATACCACAAAGTCCATCCTACTGTAGCGATAGTCATCAACAGTATAGTGGTCATGTTCTAGATCCTACCGCGATTTAACGAGCGAGAAAGGGAGTGATGTTTGCATGGCGGGCACAGGTTTTTTAGATTTCTATACGAGTCTCTAGCTTCCTTTCGTTAAGGGGTCAAAAGATTCAAACTTTGTTCTTTTCTCACTAGAAACATTTGCAAGAGACCAGCAGAGCGGAAAACATTGATTTAAAACAAACATCTCGTATATAACACCCAGCGTATTCTTCTCGTCCCAGTCGAACTTCATCCTGTGTTCTTCCCAAAGCTTCCACAGGCATTTTCTAGTTTCTGTTCTTCTTTATCCTTGTTGGTGGTGCCATGCAGATGGGTCGATCTCCTTGCTGCGAGAAAATCGGTCTCAACAGGGGTCCATGGACTCGTGAAGAAGACGCGCTCCTCATGCAGTATGTCAACGAGCACGGCGAAGGGTCTTGGAGAACGCTTCCAAAGGCCGCAGGTTTGATCCGCCCAAATCTCATTCCACTCCTTGTCTCTACATTCTCTAAGATTTTTTGTCGTGGTTGCTAGATTCCCTCTAGACAAGCCATGTTTGCGTCGTAGCTAGTTACAACGTCCCTATTCCCTTATATACTCCGCTCAAGCTTGATGTTTGCAGTGTCTTTGTCGCAACTTGCAGCACTGTCAAACAAAGCACTCGTTTTTTATTGATTCGCTCGTGACGAGTCGCTTGAAGTGCTCAGAAGGCTCGTGCTATCATAGATTTGCTCGTGATGAGTAGCTTGAAGTGCTCGGAAGGCTCGTGCTATCATAGAACGAAAGTAGTAGCTTACTTGCTTATGCCAGCAACATGAGAAAGACATTCAAGCGGCTTTGAAGTCGTCAATACCACGGTCACCAGAATGCCCAGAATGCCCAGAACTCCTTGAACACTAAACATGGATTCGTGGAACAGCAGAAAGTTTCAAGGGGCACAGTCTGCCGGTGCCCCCAAGAGTACCGTTCACTTTGCGGACGAGGTAACCATTCAAGTTCCTTCTTCCGGCTCTGCTCTCGCTTCTCCACCTTCAAGCACTTGAACCCTCAATACCAGTGCGTTGTCGTCCCACATCCGGACGTCGAGCAGCAGCCTTCCACTCCCAAGCCTTCAGCTCCAGAGCTGCAGCAGCTTTCCACTTTTTTAAAGTCTTCAGCTCCAGTGGAAAGGAATAATTCCCGATCACCAGAGCAGCTAAATCTGATAGCTTTCAGGCTCGCAGTTCTTGAAAAGTTCGCCACTGGCCTCGGGAAACTGGCCTTCGTCTGGGCAACTGTTGTTCTCCTCGGTGGATTCGTGAGCAACATTCCGGCCAAAGACTTTTGGACGATCTCGGCCTTGCTGCTGACTGAAGGAACGCGGGTTTTCAGTCGAAGTAGCGAGTTGGAATGGCAGCAGGCAAATTACAGCTTGGGAATTCTCGGCTTCAGATCGTTCCTGTTCGACAAGAGCGCCAGATTATGGGAGAAGTTCTCTGGAGTCTTGGACCATGACCACTCTGAACAGAACGTGAGTAGAGATCGACTTTCCAAAAAACCAGTAAAGAAAGATTTACACCAGGGATTCGCTGCCAGAAGAATTTGGTGCGTGGGAAGCGCGTATGTAAAGTTCCTCCCCACCAGGATCATCAGCCTTTTCATGTACTTCCTCCAGCTTGCTTCTGCAACAGTCACCGCATGTTTCTCAGTATATCGACTTGCCGAGCACGGCTTCAATGCCCAAGGAAACAACACTGAGCAAGCACTTACTGTGTTTTACGCGATGATGCTGGCAGAAACGTCGCTATTCCTCCTGGAGAGAACATATTGGGAATTCAAGCTTCGTTACCAGAGGTTGCTGGAAGTAGTCACTCGAACATGTGAGCTTGATCAAGACGACATTGAAACCATGAAGCAGTACTGGTACACATTGTACTCACGATCGCTGAACGGAAGCGTGTTTGATGGCCTGGGAATGGACCTTATCGATTTCACCGTCGAGAAGCTGCAGTCAAGCATAAGGGAAGAGCAGCTCGGTAGCGTCAACATACTGTCAGCTCTTGTCTCAAAAGGAGATTCAATGGAAGAAACGCAACGGAGGATTGGTACCACGCCCGGAGTTGTGGAGAGACTCTTAGAGATGATCACCTGGAAGGATCCTAGTGAGGCCGAAATCAGGAAAGCTGCAACCATAGTAATCAAGCACCTGGTTCGTCACAGCCATAACTGCTTCAGGATTTCCGCTATCCCTGGATCCCTGGAGGCCCTCACTGCTCTTTTACCCGAAAGACAGGAGGAAGTGCTAGAAGAAAAGAGCTACAGACTCACTATCCTCAACGGGCTAGCCGTGGATTACAGGACATGCGTGCGAATCGGTCACACCAGCGGACTTCTCTCCATCCTGGTTGAATTTATCCAAGACGAAGTACGAACGTCGAAAGAAGTATTCCGTCCATCACTCGATCTTTTGAAGACATTGGCTAGCGTGCGAGGAGATTCTGGACGGTCTCTGCGAAAGAAGATGGTGTCGGTAGTGCCAGCAGTAAGAAGTCTTCAAAGGATATGCAATCTCGAAGATTTGGAGCTACAAGACCTGGCAGTCGACGTGATCAAGCTGCTAGCAACCGAGGACGAGCTTAGAGATTGCATTGGTGCGACTGGAGGAGTTATCCAAAGCTTGATGGCCATATTTACGAGAGAAACCGCACCGAACAGCGACCAGTTGACCGGTGGCATGAGAGCCGGGGAAGCCATAATTGTGCTCGTTTTCCAGTGTCCCAACAATTGCTCGAGGCTCCTCATGCACAAAAGCTGCAGACAAGGTGGCGTTAGCAAGACCCTCAAGAGCTTGATCAACATGCTCACCAAGCCAGTTGGAGTCCATGCAGCCACAATTTTGCAAAGCTTGTGCGGTGACCTTAACGACGAAGAAAAGTTGGAGCTTGGAGCAGCCATATCTCGCATCATCCAGATGGTGCTGGAATCCACGGACAAGGAACAGCAGGCAGCCATCGGTTTGGCAGCAGCCATAATCCCCTGGCTCGACAGACGGAACTTTGAACAAGGCGTGCTATCGCAACAATCACGGCTTTGCGAAAAATTCACAGAGCTTCTATCCCACACAGCACCTTCTAGGAGCTTGAATCGTATCCGGCGATATAGCGTAGAGCTTCTGAACAGCTTGGTGGCAAAGGACGCCAGGTTCTTGCGACGTTTTAGAGAAGACGGTGAAATGGAGGCGTCCCTGGGAGCAATGTTAGCGACTGCCTCAGACGAAGAAAACTTCTTAACGTTTTCGGATTTTGTGGGACTTACCAAGCATTCCAGCAGCCTCGAGGAGCTCGTCAACAGCGCCCTATTGAACTTACACAGGGCTGGGTAGCTTCACCTTTTCCAAAAGAAAGAGCCTCGAATGTGTCATGCTGTCAAGAATAAAATATAAATTCAGTTTCAGCAACTTGCTCACGTAAACTCTAAAAAAGAAAGAAAAAAATCAATCAACATCCAAAGAAGAAGAAGCTTACTTCATAGGAGATTTGAACTCGCAGCAACTTCGCTCACGCAATTGTAATTCACTAACAGAACTCTAAATAGGAAAGAAAACATTAATCAACATGAAAAATAAAGCTTCCTTCACTTCATAGAAGATCTCCTTTCTGAAATTGTGGTCACCACTCCACGCTGTTTTGAAACTTTCCAAGCATAGAGTTCGTACTTTTCCGCTGTCACGAAAGTTACATTATTAGAATCAGAACCACGAAGAAGAAGTTTCAGGAGCAGCAAAACCTTTCAAAGGATATCATCCACCGCTCGAATTTGTGACCGACATCAAGAAGAAAGACTTCTGGAACATTTCCATCTTGCTGTTGACTGAGGGAACCCGAGTTCTTGGCGGAAGTAGCGAGCTGGACTGGCAGGAGGCAAATTACATGAATACTCTCAACATCCGCTCGCTCGTGTTCGACAGAAAGCAGGCGGCTTTCGACCATAATCAGCACCCTGCACAGAATTCTAACAGTGTTACAGTTCAATTAAGAAAGATTTATACCAGGGAGTTGACGCCATGGTCTGTGGGAGTCATCCCGTTCGTAAATTTTCTTCCGACCAGGATCATCAGCCTCATTTCGTACATCCTTCAACTACTAGTCAGTGTCCCGAGGCACAAAAGGAACTCCTCGACAACTTGATGGCAAGGGACATGAAATTCTTAGCTCGCAAAGAACTTGTTTCATTTCCACCATTTGCTTTTCTAGACACGCAAAAAAGTGTTTAAGCTCGCCATCACCTAGCACAAAAATCACGCTCGAATATCACATGAAATGCCAAGGCTCTGTACCTCAATCTTCGATCAGTACGTCGTCCTCAAACACGTGGGTAGTGTGATCCACAACCTGCAAATAAAAAGAACATAAAAAAGGTCATACAAGCTCGATCAAATGATCTTACGTTGGTGTCACTGAGCTCCAAGTTGTAGAAGACCATCGAATCTCGATCACCAAAGAGAGGACCAGCGTGCCAAGTTCCTTCGTTTAGCTTGATGAAGCGAGGACCATCTATCTTGAAAACCTGGACGCTTGCATGAGAGGGAGGTAAATAGTAGTGGCCACCAGCGTTGGATCGAACAGCGCCCTCGTGTTGCGATGAAGGATCCACAATGCTGGGAAGAGAGACCGCCATGTACCAAGGATGAGCTCCCACTGATCCCAGACACTGCGTGACCCTGGCGTGATGCGTTATCCTTTTGAATCGCAGCCCCGTTTTCCTGAGCTCCATGAGATAGAATCTGCGCAAAGGAACCATCACTCACTCAATCACTACTGAGCCGCTGGAAATTTCGGCCACATTTTGCCTGTACTACCTGGGAATCCCATTCGCGAGATTGAGCTGCGCGTCTCCCGATCCATACTCGCATCCGTCGCCAATCTTTCCCAGGAGCTGGCCAAAAGGCCGGAAATTCTCCTCCGTGATCGGCACTGCTCGCATCGAAGAACCCTAGCCCTGGCAATATCGCCCAGCGCAGGAATCGAACCCAGCATAGTCAACAAGGACAAACCATTCAACGGTCCATGGGTCAACGATGGTCAATTCTGGTCAACAGTGTCCAAACGACATCTATCCGCTACGGCAGTGAAACTTAAAGCGTAGAAAGGATATAAGCTATCGTAGCAGCGAATTTATGGCCAGAGAAACTTAAGGGACAGCAACGTTCTTAGAGTTTTTCTTATTTTCTTCGCTTTGTTCTTGGTTGTGGGCTATTTAATCTTTGAACTGGCAATGCAGATGCCACGGTACGAGTTTAAGATGCCGTCACGAGGCATTTACTATCACTGTGAAGTGCGTGAAGGAACTTACGGCAATATCTCAACATCCTCGTAAGCTCTCCTATAGCGACAGTCTCTTTAGAACTGTGGCACCCTCTTTCGCGAATCACATTTGGGGATGGCAGTGGCAGCAGTGTTCAGTGGCAGTCTGCCCTGTCCAAGCTTTGCTTTCGTTACGCCACTTCGTAGTACTACTCCTCAAGCCAGCGCAAGGTTCTTAAGTATAAGATAGAAACATCACTGCGTTAGAAGGAATACTCCAGTTTTTTCTTTTCCACCACCTAAGCCTAGTAAGTGGCAAACTATAAAACCTGGTTGAAAGGGAGAGTTCTGTGCAGTACACACTAAAAGATGGCCATGCCGCGTGTTTGAAGCCGACTTTTCTCTAGGCCTGGAAGAAGAAGCTTTAAGTTTATGGAGAATTTATAGAGGGGGAGCAAGAGTACGAGATACAACAGGTTTCTATATACTATTATTCCCTTCCACGGCTGTGCGATAGTTTGTTGTGCAACAGTAGAAAGGGCGCTACCGAGATGAAGAAAACAGTCTTGTGTGTGTCAGATCATTGTTGTCAAACAACATTGATCGATCTGGAATGGCAGCACTAGTGCCAGATCGCTCCAGTTTCCCGTCTGACCGTTTGTCGTGTGAAAGTTTTAGCTCTTTGAAGTTGCTCTCTCCACTCATCTTCACGGACAGCAGCAATTAGCTCCTTTCTTCGTCTTCTTCATTGATTCTTCTTCACTTTCTTCTCTACCTTTTCTTTCTTCCTCCTGTGTAGTTCGTGCTGCTTCTGTGGAGAGCACCAGCCCAAGCTATGCCACAAAGTCCATCCTACTGTAGCGATAGTCATCAACAGTATAGTGGTCATGTTCTTGAGAGATCCTACCGCGATTTAACGAGCGAGAAAGGGAGTGATGTTTGCATGGCGGGACAAGCAGGGCACAGGTTTTTTAGATCTCTATACGAGTCTTTAGCTTCCTTTCGTTGAGGGGTCAAAAGATTCAAGCTTTGTTCTTTTCTCATGAATATTTTTTCTTGGTCCTGGTCCCTTGTGTGTCTGAAGCATCTATCTCATAGCTAGGAACATTTTCAAGAGACCAGCAGAGCGGAAAACATTGATTTAAAACAAACATCTCGTATATAACACCCAGCGTATTCTTCTCGTCCCAGTCGAACTTCATCCTGTGTTCTTCCCAAAGCTTCCACAGGCATTTTCTAGTTTCTCTTCTTCTTTTTCTTGTTGGTGGTGCCATGCAGATGGGTCGATCTCCTTGCTGCGAGAAAATCGGTCTCAACAGAGGTCCATGGACACGTGAAGAAGACACGCTCCTCACGCAGTATGTCAACGAGCACGGCGAAGGGTCTTGGAGAACGCTTCCAAAGGCCGCAGGTTTGATCCGCCCAAATCTCATTCCACTCCTTGTCTCTACATTCTCTGAGATTTTCCTCGTGGTTGCTAGATTCCCTCTAGACAAGCCATGTTTGCGTTGTAGCTAGTTAGAACGTCCCTGTTCCCTTATATACTCCGCTCAAGCTTGATGTTTGCAGTATCTTTGTCGTAACTTGCAGCATTGTCAAACAAAGCACTCGTTTTTTGATTGATTCGTTCGTGAAGTCGCTTGAAGTGGTCAGAAGGCTCGTGCTATCATATAAACTCCAAAACTTTGATTTTCAAGTTGCATCGTTTTAAACGATTAGTGTGATCCTTGCAGGACTCCGTCGTTGTGGGAAGAGCTGTAGGCTTCGCTGGATAAACTACCTGCGTCCCAATCTCAAGCACGGAAACATCACCGAAGAAGAAGACGAGCTTATCGTCAAGCTCCATTCTTTACTGGGCAACAGGTATGATAATATATCTCCCGTTCTTTTCTTATATATTTTTCTCACATAAGTATGTTTATGGTCCCCGTGAATCAATCCATCCCTCTCACTCATAAATCATAGGTGGTCTAAAATAGCTGCCAGGCTCCCCGGACGAACAGACAACGAGATCAAAAACCACTGGAACACACATCTCAAGAAGAAGCTACAGGGCATGGGAATCGACCCAAACTCGCATCAGCCGTTGGATCAGCCCGGCGCGTCCGCCAACTTTCCACCCACGGACAGTAATGAGTCGTCGTCGCCATGCAGCTGCCACCAGGACGAAAAGGTGGCGAAGCTGGCCATGGACGACGGCGACAAAGCTCAAGTTGTAACGCAAGAATGTTCGTCAACGCTGCAAGGTGGTGTCTTGCTTCAACCAGTCAGCACGCGAGTCAACCACTTGATCCAGTCCGAGCACAGCTACTCGGAGATATCCGATACCGCTGACAGCAGCATCGCCCTCAAGGATTATTTCTTCCCGCCCGCTTTCTACTACGACGCCACGGGCGATTCGAGCTTCATCATGGACTCGTTCCACTCGGATATGTCGTGGGACGTGGAGATTGTGAGGCCCATCGACAGCAGCGGCGTGGAAGGATCCAGCATCGTCCCCGGCAACACCGATCACCTCTGGTTCTAAACGAGTTGAAATCCTGTTGACCTCATAAAAGTTTTAAAAGAACTTAATGCCTTTTACCCGGCAACGTCAAGGTTGAAAGTATCAAAAACACGGTTTTGCTCCGAGTGAAAGGAAGAAAAACGGCCGCAAAGGTGGCCAGCCCCACACTGAGGGTCAGCTCATAATTTTCATACCATATCGTTTTCGCCGATCTTACTGTTAGAGTGATCTTCTCTTTTCTGTGGACGTATTAAACTAACGTCTGGATCGGTCGAAAAAGAGCTATTGTTGGGATTCATGAAAAGCTAGCGGAGAGAATCTAATGCGAATGCGAATGGATTCCCAGAGTGGATCGTCGATCAGGCATGACTCGACAAAGGAGGGAATCATCTTCTCAAAAAACTTTTTTCCAGCTTTTGGGCCTGCTTCTCTAGTGGTTGCAATGGGGGCGGCTTACGTGCCACACCGCCTTTGCGCACAAAAGGCTTTGCTAAGTGTCGGTGCAACAAGGATGGAGGAATGAGAATTATAGCATTTTGGGTTATTAAAATATAGTGTGCGGCATGGGCTTGGCATTGTGGCTGCAATTTTAATCATCACAAAGTATTGATCACCAAAGCATGATGCATGCAAGGTAATCATGGACGAAACAGCCCTCGATCTCCTCTAAAGCCAGCAATGTGAACTTGCCAAGAAATTCAATGTTTATATGAAAACGCTGCAATACACATACGGAACGAAAGAATCAAACAGGTACAAGCATTTTCTTCAATTGATTTAGATTTTTAAGAATCATATACTTTGCAAACTGGCCCAAGCAACATGTATCGATGGCAGCGGCATATTATCCGTTTCGTTTAGCGTTGAGTAACCTGGGAATCTTGCCAAGGTACACACCGACAGTGTAAGCCTCCAGCCCAACACGATGTGTATGACGCCAACTTACGGGTATTTTGATAATAATTCTGGGGTTGACAACTACGAGGTGTCGGCCGAGTTGAATGACGTTGAGTTGCCTCCCACAAGACAGGAGAGCGAGATGGAGAACTTGTTTCTATTATAAAGCAATAACGTGATAACCAACGAAGCAAGGGAATCTAGATCATATCAAATTCATATTGAAGGTTGTATTTGGCATTCTATCTACATTGTCACTGTTGCGAAACCCGCTACTTGACTTGTTTATCTGGCACACCCAAGGAATGTTTGCGGGAAGCGAGAAACTGATTTCTTCATGTGAACCACTGCAGCTTTTTGCACAGGGGTCTGCAAGTTCAACATAAGGCGCCTTGAAGAAAATTCGAATGAGAGCATGAGTGTTGAACGTAAACTTGTCCCAGATGTGAACCGGGATGAGACAACGCGATAAAAGACATGCAAGAACATAAAATAAGGCCCCTTGAGGAAGGTAGTGGTGTAAGTTTCAAGGGTCCTTGTGGTGACCGCATAACATTCGTGGGAGGATAGTCCAATCTTTCTAAGTGCATGTTAACATCACCAATCGCCCGGTCACCGAGCTGGGCTGCAAAGAGAAAAGATCTTCTTGCTTATATGAAATTTCCTTGGAGCTATTTTGTCCACGGGTCCGTGTTAGATAGCATGTCTATTCACGTAGAGTAGGCGCTCAAGGGCCTATTGCCAGGACCTAGTCGCTCTAAAACCGGGAACGGGAGGCGAAGGAGGAGAGGAGAAGTGGAATCTTTTGAAGGTTTGAAAAACACTAAAGTTTGGAATGGACAAGCTCACTAGCGAGCGGCTCGAGCATCAAGGGAAAACAACAAGCGAGCTTGCAAAATACTCGAGCCGCATGCTTCGATTACGTTCAGACAGGAACGCATGCCTCCCTGGATCATTGAATTATTCCAGTTCCCGGCCAGCGCAATGGGAGATCAAATTGTCGCACTCGGGCGATCTAGGAGAGAAACTTTCAAACTTTGGGGAAGAATGGAACTCCTCCAAGTACCGTACAAGAGAGCATCAAAAAGATCCAGCAATGCACGCAATGCCCCACAATGCTGTCGCAAGTTGAGTACTGTTTGTCAAATATGCCCAAACAAGGCATTTTGCTGATCACAGCATGACCAAGCACATCGCAATCAATCACTCAGGTTGATCCAAGGGCCAGTAGCACAGTGACAACCCGGGGTCCCAATCTCGATCAAGCCCAATCTCGCGATTCACCGATGTGATCGAGAGGTTCACACACTTTCCCAGCAAAGCCAATCATGGAAACTATATTGCCACCACCTCCGTGGCGAAGTGTGCGTGAGCAAGAGTCCTCTTGCAATACATCCCGGGTGATGTAAACCGCATCATCACACAAGGAGCAAGCAAAGTTTTTATTCCACATCCATCAACAAACCCACTTCGATTTTAGTTTAGACAACTTAGAGCTTTTGTACAAGAAAACAGCACTAGAGCTTCTTCCTTGGAATGCCCAGCTAAAAGATCTTGAATGAAACATCATGTAATTGTCGCCGACGAAACAAGAAAACACAAGAAACGACCACCACGTTGAGAACTTGAGATCAAAGATCTTGCCAGAGCTCCCGACCCATCGAATCTGTGTCTCTCATTGAATTCTCTGCTTTTAAAGTGTTCCATCTATTGTGTGTAGCTTGCAACTTGCAAATGCACAAGAACATGACCAAAAGATCTTCAGTCTTGTTTTGTTACCTCCAGCCAACTTGTTGCTGTTGTTTTTGTGAAACGTTGCTTTGTTGCTTTGGGAGATTTTGGGTTTTCCCTCCTCCCTTTAGAGCTGTGTTGTATCTATCTACGTAGACGTATGTAATGACCCACAGGCAGAGACAAGCGTGAAATGAAAAACCGTTAGCAGCAGTATTGGTTGATCGCCCGGAGATTGATCCTCGGTGACTCCACAAAATCGTACAATGTACAGGGAGGAATGAAAGAGATCTTGGAGACGAAGAAGGAGAAGAAGATCAAGGACGAAAAGATAGAGGGAGATGGTTGCGTGAGCGAGCGAGAGGGATATATATGTATGTACACGACTAGCCAAAGAGGAGCTCGTCGTGGAGGAAGTTCACCTGAGTGGCAGCAAGCGAGGAGGACGAGGAAGAAGAATTAGAGGGGGATGTGGAGGCGATGATCATGGGGAGGATCCCATCCGCGACTGGAAGGGGAGAGGAGGAAGGTGGCACCACTTGCGTGGTGGAATTGGATGCGAATTCTGTGAGACCATCCCACAAATCGGATTGGCACACGGAAGAACAGTCGGGGAGCTCGATCTTTCCCAGCGAGTCCCAAAACTGATCACCGCTACAATCCTCCTTGAACAAATCCCCGCCGGCGACGATCACGTCATCCTTTCGCAGCAGGAAATCGTCGATGAACTCGAGCATCTGGACTTGACTGCGCAGCTGGAATTGCTGCTCGTGATCGTTCCAGTCCACCGTGTGTTGACTGGTGCTCACAAGCGGAGGAGCTTGGCCAAGATCCTGGGAGCTGCTGGCGGTGTTGGATTTGGAGATTGTTGTCGGCGAATCGCAGTTGGAGGCGGAGGCGGAGTGGGAATTGGAGGGCGAGGGCGAGGGAGAGTAAAGATTGAAGACCGAGGAAGGCGATGGGTAGTTAAACTTGGTGGTGTTTTGGAGATCTTGCTCTCGCTCTTCTTCCTGCCCCACTGATAGCGATGATGATTCTGTGGCTCCGCCACCAATTTTGCCTGCGCTCAAAACAGGGGAGGCACTCTTCTCCTTGGCAAGGTCCCCAAGAACAGGCATTTTGCGTTTCCTGTGCAATCGAGCACACACTTTGGGCGGTTGACACTCTGTGCGCCGGTCGCGATCGTCGCAGGACTCCTCGCACGAGCCAGTGCTGTAGGAGCTCGTGTCCAAATCCATGGTCGTCTCCCACGCCTCCTGCGGATCATCGCCCCTGCTGTGGCACGAGGGGGAATTGGAGTTGTCATCCCCCTTCTTGGTCGGGGAATTGGGCGAGGATTTGGCGACGAGGGGCTTGTGGGTCTTGGGATCCAATCCCCGGCTGGCCAGCTTCTTGCTCAGGTGCGTGTTCCAGTAGTTTTTGATCTCGTTGTCTGTCCGCCCGGGCATCCGAGCCGCGATGAGCGACCACCTGCATTCATCAAAACCGGGGAATTGGGGATCAAAACACGATTTTGCAAAGAGCCCAGATGCGAGCGCGGCGCGATCACGGTGCCCAAGCGCACCGATTTCGCTGCCGCCACCGCATCGGATTGAATCGGGACAGAATTGGTGGGTGGTGTATCACCTGTTGCCCAGAAGAGCGTGTAACATTATGATGAGATCTTCTTCGTCCTCCGAAATGTTGCCCCTTTTCACGTTTGGTCGGAGGTAGTTCACCCATCGCAGCCGGCAGCTCTTTCCACAGCGCAGGAGTCCTGAAGAGAGGAAGATCGAAGATCAGAGATCACACTTTTTGGAACTTTGGAAGAATTCAAATCTCGACCGACCTGCGGCTTTTGGAAGTGCCCGCCAGTTGCCTTCGCCGTGCTGCTCGATGTGCTTGGTGAGTAGCATGTCTTCTTCCGGCGTCCAGGGACCTCGATTGAGTCCAACTTTGGAGCAGCAAGGAGCTCTCCCCATGACGACGATCGCTCGAGGGGCGCAAGTCCTCCAAATCCTCCTTGTGGTTTTTATATCTGGGGCGCCACGGGTCAAAAAGCAGCAGCTAAAAGCAAGTAGTCTCCTTTTATAAAACTCTGTTTGGATCTTCACCCCCAAGCGCTACACAACCACTGCCCGATGATTGCCTCCGTCGCCTTGCTCCACAACAGATGCCCAGCTGCGGCATTTCCTTGATTCCTTGAAAAATGGAATGGAGCGCTCTCTTTTTTCTCTTCTCTCTCTCTCTCTTTCCCTCTTTTCCACCTTTGAAGTCACAAACACTCGTGGGTCATTGAGTCACCTAACAAGGGAAGCACAGACACGCTACGTTTCGAGTGCTCTAAAACCTTACTCTGGTGTGCTTGTGTCATATATAAGCTTATATATTATATAGCACTTTGGCTTAACCAGAGAATTTGGATTGCGCTTCAAGACAAGTGTGAAGTGATTTCTGCCCAAAACAATCTTGAGCCCCAAACTGGATAGTGATGTATATATACACAAAACTCGACCACAAGGAAAGGCAGAACTTGCAAAGAGAGAGAGAGAGCACACGAGAGGGCAAAGTGACAACGATGGATGGTAGGCCGTCAAGGCGACTGCGACCCCAAAACAAGCAAGATGGGGACTCCATCCACCTCCGAGAAAAAGATGCCAGCGAGAGATTCCAAGTGATTCCCACTGCCCAATACGTGTTGAACTTCTCCTCTTTATTTCCCGCATATTCCCGGGGAATAATAAGCATCGTGTCGACATTCCAGCCGTACTCCATCACCCCGGATGCCAGAGAGATTGTGAAATGCCAAGCTCTCCTACGTAGCGAGTCTTACTATCTCTCAGGTGTGGGCGATAAGATCTCCTCCTCGATTCGGGCAACATGCCATGACCTCCGCCCCTCAAGCTTTGCTTTCCAAAGGACAGGCCATCGATCCATTCGTGACCAACCAACCTGAGCTTCCTTTTTTTTTTTTTTTTGCTTTGCCCTCTTTCCTTTGTTTCGCCAACTTTAATTTCTTTCGGGGGTGTCTCATGTCATGGGACCACTTTGGAGAGGTTGTGTGTGAGTGTGTGTGACTCGTAACTTACAACATAGCTAAATCGTGGCATGACTGAGAGCCGGAGCCAACCGGAGATGGGCCTGGAGAGGCATGGCGTTTGGAAGCTCCAATTCAATTCGATCGACAAAGGAAAAATTGGTTTCTAGCCCCGCATGTCGATGGGTCGTGTATAAGGGGCACACATGGCGTACTTTTGAAGCACGGGTTCTTCGCGATATCAAAGTTGTGGGACACATTGGATATGTTGGTTGAGGAAAGAAATGAAAAGGTGACGCTTTTGATTATTCCTCCTAGGGTTCAGAGTTTCAATGCGAACCAAACTATACCGGCCTTCGCGGAGCGTTCGCCTCGTTTTTAACTTGCGGTCAAAGATTTTCTACTGCCAGTCAATTTGCTACGTCTCACGGGTTGACTTCTGCGTTTCAATCCACCATGGAAGACTGGCCTTGACGAATTATCCGAGTTGGTGGTTGATTCAATCCAGGAAATCTCTCAGACTATGGGGGCTATAGTGGTACGCCAAAATTTTCCAAAAGAGTTGCGGATGCAATACGTGAAATTCCACTCAATTTCTCGTATCTTGATTACAGTGTTGACTAGAAAAATCATTGACATTTGGCATCCAGTAATGTGCGGACAGGTAGCTTGTCCGCGTACCAGTGAGCCACCAAGAAATCCACATCCCCGCCCTCAAAAACAAACGTTGACGTGGCGCCATGCTGACGTGCGGCGCACCCGGGTCGTGCGGGCGCCGCCAGTGGGCTCCCCATTGACCAGCTCTCGGGGTCACGGTGGAAGGGCGCCCGCAATGCGATTTAGCACGAATATCTCCCGGAATCTCCCTCCAATCACGCATTCAATCCAGCTTGTCCCACTGGATCCGACCAGATTCGCGTGGAGCATGAGAGAGCGCGTACGGAGATCTGGAGCTCCAACACGTATCTCGTATGGAATCTCTCCAATCGCTGGAGCGTTACTCTCTCCTCCGGGAAAGGGAGATGTGAAACGATGACCTAACTTGTTGGTCCTCGCGGCATTGCTTTGTCTTGGTCGTCATCACCTTTGCAAAAACAATGTGTTGCCGGACGAGAGCGGCGTTTTGACAAGTGCGTCGACTTCAGCCGGATTTCCCGGGAGGTTTTATATGTAATTTCTTCTTCTTGGCAAGATGGGAAGCCGCTATCCTCCATGTCCAACAAAAGTCTGCCCATTCTCTCGAGCTGGCTTGTTCATTCACACTTCTTCTTTGTCTGCAATGCCTATAATCCATGAGGCTATTTCACTTCCCTGTTGGGTGATCCTGAGGGCCGAAGCATAACCCAGATAAATCATAAACATTGCAAGCTGTGTTTAAAAACATTAATGCACTCGTGTTCATAACAAATTTGAATCCATCCTCAGGAAACAATTTTAAACGAAGGAAGAGTTTGCAATGGAACAGATTTACATTATGTCCCGACTCAATAAACTACTGCACCATCCTGGAGATCTCCGTACACCCAAATGGAATCAATCCCAGTGACCTCACTCCCGAGCTTTTATAATATTCTACATTGGTTGAGAGTGGATCCATGAAGCAAGTGATCTCCAAACATTCCCCTGTGCTGCGAACACGAGAAACAGACGTGAGGAGTCAACTTGAGGAGAGGAGGAACCAAAGAAAGAGAAAACCATTAAATAAAAGGTGGAAAATCAGGCCCAGTGGGATATCCATCTAACTTCTTACCCAAGTTCATACGTAATGCTAACGCCATGCTCATGTTTGCAAAGGCCCAGCCTTGAAGCATCATCAGCCGTTGGGATTGAGCAATCAGCTGTCACACAAAACACTAAAAAAAAATTTCAAGTCGAATCAATTTTATGGAGATCTAATAAATTTTATGGTCAGCCCTTTCTCTCTCTCTCTCTCTCTCTCTATCCGGACCCGTTTTCTTGTGAAAGCAAGGTTTGTTGGGTTTGGTGGTTACATCGCCAGTACTCGAGTCAATTCCCAAAATGTAGCTTAAACAATGCGTGCACAAGTTTGGAGCCCAATTTTATCTCTTTCAAAGGAGAGGCATTTGCGTGACAACCAAGTTACCCGTCCAAGTCGTGTCACTCCAAAACATGACCGATTCCTGACCACGGGGCCGTGATGCTGATGCGTGCCCGATCAAAGCGAAGCCGCAAGCTTTCCCCAACTTCTCATGTTCTTTCGTTTTTTAGTTTTCTTATTTCTGAGTTTTGTTTGTTCGTGGGTGAACTTGCAAAATCTGTGGCACCAGATTGAGCCCGACCCAAACGTTCTTATGGAAAATCTCCCGCAACAAACGAAAGCAATTGAGAGAAACTGGAATACCATATATGTATATACACTGATATGATCCTTACACTCGCACCTAAAAACGTCGGTATACACGCAAGTCTTGTTTCATCTTGATCTTTGCAAACTTGGGTCCGGGGAGATTGCGGATTGGACAAAGCTGGCTGGCTGTGGTTACAAGAACACACCCGCCAACTTGTATTTAACGCGGGGTGGCGGTGCTTGCTACTTGGGGAAACTTTGCCTGGCCCATTTCGTATCACCTCCAAACACTATGGGACCGATTTGGGCAATTTTAATCCCTTGATCCAGCTGCAAGATGGGGCCATATTGATATACTGCTTTGCCGGTGGTTACTTATATGGCGCTAAATCCCCGCATTAATCTGTGAAAACTATGTTTCTCCCTTAACAAACCTCATCACGAGTGCATGACCAGGTGATGGCATCGATTAAAGAACCATGCAAACGTTAAGGTCAGAGCCGTGAGGTATCTGATTGTCTATTCAGGCTTGCCTGCGGGTGGTAGTACCATACATGAGATTAGCATTTGATTCTCCATACGTGACACATCAAGCTCTGAGGAGCTGAATCGATCAGGAACGAGGCCACATAAGCGTTTAGGATCACCCAAGTATTGGCCCCAAATGCAACGTACCACACTTATAGACAGAGGTGTTGGTCTAAGTCTTTGTATTTTATCATGCTTCTCTCAATGAGATTCTCCTCTAGCTGTACCTTGGTTCGTCTGTATAACAGGAAAGAGGAATTCCTAAGCAGCTTTCTGGCCCAATGATTCCCTTGCAAGTGCGACGCCACATTTTCTATAAAAGGATGCTCGGGATAATACTTTTCGTTTTATAATTGGGCTATGAGTTTGTGAGTGTTTGTGTGCTCTTTATTGTAGAGTCAAAAAAAATAAAAAATAAAAACACTAGATGTTGGAGTTTTGGAGTTTTGGTATCTTGGAAAGTTTGTGCAAAAGAGATGAACAGAATTGGGAGTGCTTTTGCTTGATTGCCATAAAATCTAGACAATCTGGAAAAGAATGAAGACTCAAAGTTCACAAGACAGAAAGATGAGTTAATTCTGAGTTACATGTCGCAAGTTGGCTATAGTCCAAGGCAAACCCAACGACGTATGCCCTGACGTAATGTACCATTTCTGCGTAAGCACGATTGACCACAAATCGAGATGGTGGTATTTTTTTTATCTTGTTGCTATCAAAGAGATTCGAGGGTCACAGTTTTTACCAGTCGCAATACAAAGATATACTTTTCTTTATTGTGTTATGCGAAAATAGTTGTTTCCCTTTTGTCCAATTATTCCAAAGAACAAATCTCAACAAAGCTAGATTGTGCACAGCGATGAGCCAAGTCTACAAAGCAATAGACGAACAAAAGAGACTCGCAACGAAGACCTTGAATCTAAAGTTTCGTCACTCATGCATTTATACAAGTCGAGTAATCGCAGTATATAAAAGAATGATAGCTTTTCTCACCTCTGGATGCTCTCTAAACACAATTTTCACGACCTTTCTCTGTACACGAGTTCATCCATTCAGACGCGGAAGTGTGATTGATAGTAGCTTGCCTGGGAAAAAAAAGCTTGGATCTTGACCGAAATTCACGTCTCTTTGTCCGAGTCCGTCTTCCAAAGCGATGAAGCCAGTGTCGTGGCATCCTCGGCAATGTTTTGCCTCCCATTGTCAATAACAATTCGAGGCTCTTCCTTGTGCACCTACAAAATCATATTATAAGTATTATAAGTTTCCGAGACAATGAATCACGCTGAAAAGTTCACCTGGGATTGTGAGGATGGAGGATTTGTCGTGGCCTTTTGAGTTTCCAGGATGGAACTCAGGGAGTAGAGACCCATTCCAATCACAGCTACCAGGATCCCGGAAATATTTCTCCAGCTGAACGGAGTCTTCAGGACGACGTAGCCAAAAGTCAATATGAGGCAGGTCTTGAGGTGCCCCAGCACCTGGTAGCTGACAGGAGAGGTTCTTCCGATCACCAAGAAGGTGCTAAAGTTGACGGACACAGCGATCAAGCAGGACAAAACTATAAACATCTACATACACCAGAAAAAACAAAAAAAAAGAAAAGAGTGTGGTCAGAGCACTCCAAAGTGACAGGAAATCAAGTTTGTCTTACCACGACTTTGGGGTTGTACTCGAAGGCAAAAACGTTTTGCTTGGTGAGCGCAAAGTCGAAGATCGGACCCATGAGAATTAATGTCGTGACTTGATAGGGGCAAGATTGGAAGAGAAGCTGGGTCGAAGAGACCTTGTACCCCTTCTGGATCGTGTTCGTCATCTGGTAGAACAAGGTTATATAGAAGTTTGGAAGAACCGAAACATGTACACAAGCTTACAATTTGAGCAATGCAGGTTGTCAAAATCGCAAACAGCGACAAAACTGTTCCTTGAAAGTTAAGTTGCAGATCCGTCACTGTAGCCACGGCAACTCCGCCCAGGAGAATAACTAGCGACAGCTGAATCCTGTGGCTGGAACATCAAAAACAAGAGAAAACCATACGAGGCATTGGATGTATACTAACTTAATAAGCACAAGAAGGTACCTGAAGTGTTTCCCTAGGAAGATTGTCTCCAGTATAACTGTACATGGGATAATCGCGAGCTTTGTCATCTGGAAAAGAAGATTAGCTTGTATAGTATGAGAACTTCAGCTTACCTGGTAGAAACCAACTGAGTTGTAGCCCAGGCTGAGGTTGAGGAAGGCAATGGAAGATGCATTGAGTACACCGAAAGCCATGACGACGCGCATGTTAATGTGCTTTTGCTGGAAAAAGTTGAGCCAGTTTGCGATCTGGAGCGAGCAGTACGTGATCACGAGGTGCCAGCTCGAAAGAGTTGTGGCTGCCAAGATCAAACAATCAAAACTTTGAAACTTTGCACTTTGGCATCTCTAGAAGCTAAAAGCGTTGGATTTCTCAATCTAGGAGGAACGAAGGATAGAAGTTGAAAACTTACCGAAGTTGAAGCCCAGGTTTGATATGAGGGCCTTGTTGCAGATGACAATGGCCACCGCCGAGACGACGGACAAAGCCAAAGCTCCGGCCGTGCTCCACCAAGCGCTCGATTCCGCGGTCATTGCTAGTCGCAAACTTCCCAAACTTTGGGAGCGACGAGGAAAAAGGAAAAAACACCACCACCAAAGAGCTCCACGTAGAGAGAGTGATGCGACCTAATCGATCACAATGTGTGTGGCTACTCCAATGTCCGAAACGAATAAAAGGGACAAGCTTTATTTACGAAGAAAGGAACTGGGAGATAAAATAGAGATGAGATGAGATTGAGATGAGATGCAAGAAAAAGGAATGCAAATTTAAACTGCTAGAAACTTACGTGAGATCTGGTATGAGTTGACTCGAATTGGGCGATGGAGAGGAGTTTCTTCCTCGCTGCGATCCCCGGAGAGATTGGAGAGAAGGCAAATCCTTTCTTCTCGCTCGCCCCAAGTGTGTGTTCTTGTGACAAAACCAACTGATGCTTGTTACACGGAGGTGGAGGACCACCAGCAAGTAAGCAACATGTCGCATTCGAGAAGTTGCTCCTCCCTATCAATCAAACACCCAAAACCCAAAAAATCCCGCAAAGGAACAAAAGAGAGGGAGAGGAAACACTAAGAAATGGATGAGAGAATGAGAGATTTGACAGCAAAGCAGTGCTCCAAACATGTCTTTCGGGCTGATGGCTAGTAGTTTTCTCTTCCTAGAGCTGAAAGCGTGCATTCTAGCTAAGATTTCTATCATAATTTAAAGGAAAGAAAGAAAGAGAGAAAGAGAGGATGGAAATTCTTGATGGGTTTTTTGGTATCTGGATTGATCTGGCAGTGAGCTGATGTTTTCGCTTCCGTTGTGGGTTGTGTGTGATAGAATGCAGAAGCACCAACCAACCATACCTACATTTCTTGATGATTTCTCAACTACACCCCCAAAAACAAGGGGAGGAATCGTGAAATCGTGCTCAAGGAATGCTGGATTGAAAGAATTCTCCATTGATTTTATAATGTTTGGTGCGCTCGAGACAAGACAACACCACCACCACGACCCTAACAGAGCACTCTGTTTTTAGGTCAATTCTATATGCTCTGTTTTTAGGGTTCCTCGCAAACAGAGCACATTTCTCTCACGACCAGTCTATGTCACCCACTTCATCGCTATAATCCTCGATTTCTTCCGTGGAATCGACACAGCTTCCCACCGAGGCCTGGCCATCCACCGGAATCGGTCCGGTGACGTTGAAATCGACGAGATTCTTGTCGCTGGTCTGAATTCTCACTGCTCGCAGCAGCCAGTCTCCATCATCCGAGCTCGAGGAAGCCGAGCTTCCAAAGAAGCGTATCAATCGCATCTGGCAAATGCCCGCCAAGCATTTGCCGCCGCTCGCCAGCCGCAGCGTGGTCTCTCCGCAGCGATCCTTTGTCTGCGGCAAATCGGACTGCCCCCACATCACGAATTCCTGCTCCTCGTTTCCCAGCTCCACCAGAACCGAGACTCGAGGGGAGCTGCTCGACCGATCCAAGCACTCGCTGCTCGGGAAGAATGTGAGATCGTAGCGACACTCCTGCAGCGAAAACCAAAGAACTTCGATCTCCCTGTGAATCGAAAGAAAAAAGAAAAAAAAAAAGCTTACCGCTGTGGTGAGAGCGATCATCCTTGCGTCGAGAAGCATGACGAGGAGCAGCCACCACCACCACATCGTTACTTGACGAGCTTGCAAAGAAAACTTTCTTTCTCGTCGTGTAAGCAATGATCTTTCGCTCTCTCGAGCGCCTCGAGGTTGGACGTCGATGGACTATCTTGAAAGCCACCTTAACCTTTGGCTTGATAATTCGACAAGCTCGGGAATGTGGGTGGCACGACTTGCGTGCCTGTGCTTGCTTCCGCTGGCCGGGTTTGGTTTGAATCGCATCGTTTCAAACATGCCTGGCAGCATGAATCGGTCCTGGCCAGGGAAGAAAAACTCTGGAAAAAGCACAGCATGTTGTAGACGTGCACCCATGATTTTGATGCCAAATTACCTGGAAAAGTCGAATTGAGCCCCACTGGATCGAGTGAGTATCTAGCGCAAAGTGGAAACTGTTAGAAAAATCAAAACTCCGACCTTGTTCCCTAAGTAGTTTGATAACGAGCTCGTTAAAAACTTTAAACGCTTACAGCCGATGGACCTTGTGCTACCATCGTCTTACCAACGATGTTAGAAGCTGAAGAGAAAGTGTTAAGGAGATTTGCACTAGAACTAGAATGGAAGTTACTTCACCTCGAAAAACTCCAGAATGCTTCCTTTCTTAACGCTGGTGTCCCTGCTCGTATCCTCATTTGGGAAGAGAGCCGTGAAAAGCGTTCGCCAGGAAACCAGAAGAACGAAAGTGCTCCCCATACTGATCAAAATGAAAGTTTGCGGCGGAGTGTGACCCGTGATCAACGTTCGAATGACTAGGCCCAGCTGCTCACATACAACTATTAGCTACGTCTTTCGAGAGAACTTCGTACTTACGGGAATGCTTACGCCCCATGACTTGATTGCTGAAAAGGTAGCACCACGCAAGCCGTAGAGTCCTTGACCCTCCGGGCCAAAGCCACCGAGAAAATAAGCTCCCAGCAGCCACCCTGAATGGACAACTCGTCAGCGTAAGCTCCAAAGTTTTATCACCTAGAAGAAAACGTACCGGCAATGAAAGGATCAGCAGTCCTGAAAATGTCCCAGCTGAGCGGCGACGATCCATGGTTTGCTCGTCCAATCGACGCGAACGCGAGCAAAGCTAGCAAATCTCCTCCAGCTAGAACAAGTACTCTCCTGGAGAAAGAAAAAACCTTAAGTACACCACCGAAAGGGAGAGCTCATACATACCCCCACGATGGTCGAGCTGTTCTCTCCTTCTCCACCTTTATCACGCCTTCCACCTCCACACCTTCGTCCTCCACCGCCAAAGTCTTGAAGCTGGGCTCTTGCTGCGTGTCCTGAGCTCTTCGAAGAACTGGGCGACGGACGGATTGGACAAGCCTGGACCTGGAAAACGCACACTCGGCCTCGGAGGTGGCTGCTCGGAGACCCAGATTGCGTCGCGACCGGGAGCTCAAAGAACACGACTGGAGTGGCAATGAAGAAGACGATGCCACTCCAGAGGTATCCACGGAAGAACAAAGCGTGGAGCTGCTGCTGCTGCTGCTACGAACAGAAGCTGGCTGGATAACTCGAGCCGCCCCCATGGGAATTCAAAACGAGAAATAGAGAGAAGAGCTACAAACCCCGTCGGAGGATAGAATCGTTGAAAAAAAACAATTTTCCGGACAAATAAACAAATTAGAACAAAAAAAATACTAAGCGAAAGACAAACCCGACTAGAAGATAGCCTTGGAACGCTTCTTGGCCTCACTGTAGAGGATCACTCCGAGAATGGTGATGGTGAATCCTGTCAGTCCGGTGACCGTAACCGGGTTCCGGAAGATAAGAACCGAGATGGCTGCAGCAACCGCGGCTTTGGCATTTCCCAGGACCTGGAGAGTGAGAGCGCTCGTGTGCTTGGTAACCAGGAAGTTGAAGAGGTTGACGGAGTAAGCGATCATCATGTTGGCGGCGAGAACCAGCAGAAACCACGGCTTCTTCTCGGCCTCGCTCGCTATAACGCCGAAAACGTTGCCTTCTATGATGAGTGCCGCTGGGAGGAGGAGAACGACCGCAATCGGAGCCATGTACATGAGGAGATTCATCGAGTGGAGCTTCTCCGCTTCTGAAGTGAGCAGTAGCCCCTGGACCACTGACTTGAGAGCTCTCGCTGCTGTGGACACAAGGCAAGCTACAAATCCCACGACGTTGAAGAGCGGCTCGCCGTTGCTGGCTAGAGCTATTCCCAGGACCACCGGGACCAGCGCCATGTAAACTGTCCCTGTTTCCTTCTTGCAGGTGATGAGGAAGGCAAAGATGGCAGTGAAGAACGGCGTCGTCGCACCTATAGCCTGGTTGAAAGAAACTGGAAGGTACCTCAGCGACATGTTTCCACTCACGACGGACAAGGAGAAGATGGAGCTGAGCGCCACGATCTTGAGAAGCTGGCTTCGGGATCCGATGTACTGGATGGGGACGATGTTAAGCCACCCAACAGCAATGAAGCTGCTGATAGAGCAAGAACACATGTGTAGCATCGTCAGGAAGACCGGGTACCTGAATCCAAAGTAGCTCAGCAGGTACTTGTTGAGCAGGAGAACTCCAATGTTGGATGCGTACCAAGACAAAATGATGAGACTTGTAGCAAAGCCTGCCGAGCTCTGGTGCTTGGATGCTGCAGAAGGCTGGACCGTCGAAGGAATGTCGAGCACGGAGATGGATTCTAGCTTCGGGTTGCTATTCCGACGGACCCATGTCGTCTGGTGATGAGAATCCATACTTCCTTGCCGCCTGAGATTGACAGATACCTATCTTCTCGTGCTATCTCACTCACGGACGGGGTCCGGACATTCCCCGAATATCCAAGCTGCAAGCCAGAGTTCATTAGCTTCGGCGTCAAGGAAACGAAGGCAGGCTTACTTCCCGAGAAAAATTAGAATCGCGAGACCAAAGCGCGGTTTTGTTTCTACTCTCCAGCTTTCCAGTTTGGTATGTCAGCTGTTGCCTGGTTGATCATCTTGACAAGCATAGCCTGTAAGTGACGCGACGCAGCACGAACAATAAGACAAGAAGTATAATATGAGAGAAAAACGTACCACACTTCCTGGGACATTTGCAGGTGGCAGTGTTAAGTTTCGCGGAGGAGCACCTGCTGTAAACGATCTCTTATCGAAACGCCATTCTCCAACTTTCCCGTACGTCAAAACACCCTGAGACGAGGAAGCTAACTTCATTTGGATGCGTAACAGTAGGTGTACTACCTCCAGAGTGTAATCGCAGCCGTATGTGTAATGGATGATATATTTGTCTCCCAGTGATGTATCCCAAGGAGGCTGCGAGAAACCATCAGCAAAATCAATCTCCACAGAAACTAGGTAGATTGAATCCAAACCTGAATCATAAAGTCCTTACGCAAAGTGTGCTTCACACCGTGAACAGCGGAAGCAATAGCATACGCGTACCTATGAACAACACGGTAGGATCAACAACACCATAGGAAAAAAGAGCTCTATACTTACATCTCCAAAACCCAGCCAAATGCTTTATCAGTCTCCGGGTCCTGCTTCATTTGAATCGAAAGATTGTGCCAAGTTGGAGCAATTCTTAGAAGCTGAGCCTGCAAAGTCCACCAAGCTGCGAGGAAGTCTTTCCCAAGCTCGAAAAACCTTGCGTACCTTGTGAATGATCGCAGGAGAATTTCCCACCGGATCGACAGCTTGCACAGGTCCTTTGAAAAACTTTCCAACCTCGCGCTCGTATTTCTCGGGAGTGATGTAAAAGAATGGAAACGCCGCGGGCCGCAGCCTGGAAGCCAGATTTGGAAGAGGCTTCGTGATGAGATGGTCGGGCTCGGCCATGAAGATATAGCTGCGAAAGAGGTAACCAAAGTTCTCGAGCAACACGAAGAAAAGTAGAACAACGTACTCTTCCTCAATGGTAGCATTGCGAAGCCACTGGACGAAAGCCCAAGGTCGATGGAGCACTATGTATCCCTGCGAAGTAAAGAAAGAAAGAAAAAAAAAGTATGGGAGAAAGAAAGAAGCAAAGATCACGCTACCTTGTCCAAACCGGAGGGAAGAGGATCGGCAACGAAGGTCGGGATCTCATCCATGAGATCATCCGGAGCTCCCGAGTGGAGAATTCTCGTGAATCCGCCCATCTCCGACCCTGGCTGGTCCTTGAACTTCTTGAACCAGTAGTACATGATCCGGCATTGCCAGCGCGCGTAAGATCCCGACGAGGAGGTCACTACCGTGTGGAAGAGCTTCTTCTTGCCGCCGGGATTGAAATCGAACTCCTCCTCCCCGCCGCCGAGAGTGCTGTCGCTTGCGGCGATGAATCTAGCGGTGTTGTAGATCGCAGCAGTGAATGCCACAAAGAGGAGTACCAGAAAGAAGAAGCTGATCCTTCCCATTCCCGTGCGGCGCCGGAGAATCCTTCCGCCCTGACGATAGATCGAAGCGAAAAAACTTTTAGGGTTCTATAGTGGAGGGCTACTTTTTTACCCTTTCAATGGCTTTAAAGCCCATACTGCGCCAACCGAGATAGAAGCCGAAGAGCCACTACTCCTTACTACAAAGGATGAGAACTTGAGAAGCGAAACCAGCTAAAGAAAGCTCCACAAACGTCGTAGCAGCTATAGATTAAAGTCGCGAAAGAGAAGACATGATTGATCTAAAAGGATCGCTGTGAGACGTAGGATTTGAAGACGTCGTTGAGCACAGTCTTTGAAACCAGCGACGCCTTGAGCAGAGACAAGGCCTGAAGTCAAAAGAAACATTGGAAGATCAGAGTACGAGAGAGATCAGTTTAAACCTCGTGAGCGCCCACGCTGACCTCGATGCTCTCGAGATCAGCCATAGCTTTCACCTTGAGCTTGTTGAGCAGGACGATGCTCTTGATGGTCGAAGTCGGGTACACCTCGAGCTCGTCGGTGATCATGAAGATCACATTCTCCTTCACGTAGCCAGCAGTTTTGGTGGAGTTTTCTTCATTGGGTAGCATCGTCAACTGTACAGGTTGATAGCCGTAGTTCTGATGGCATGAAAAGGATGCATTGTCAGCCCTCGCATTGTAGCAGCTACTGTACCCACACTTATAGTACACCGGGGAAGTAGTCGACTGCGAGTTTTCGATGGTGAGCATCTTTCCTCCATGGAACGCAAAAGTATCTGGCGCTGGATTGGTGAGAACACTCTTACTGACTTCCATGCTCGACTGATCCATTTTCTCGATACTCTCAAACAGCCTCGTGGCACCAGTCTCCATGCCGGAATCCACAGTTCGCAGGAGCTTGATCACAGACCCCACCGGAAGCACAAGAAAGCTCATGAGGAGATCGACGAAGTCCTTCTTTGCCTCGAGGAAAAGAACAGTGCCATCCGGCTTCTTGTAGAGGAGATTGACCTTCATCTCCACGCCAGAGCTAGCGCGCGGCATGACCTTTTTCGAAAAACAAGGAGAGAGCTCGAAACTTTCTTGTTCCGGACAAGACACTCGCCATAAATAATGCGAACCACTTTGGTTTGATTGAATATACAGTCTTGCTTATTTAACGGGAGGCATTGAATATACAGTCTTGCTTATTCCAAGGCCGCGCTTGGCCTCCCGTTCAATGGGCCTCCCGTTAAACACCATCCTGATTCACTCTCTCTCCGCTTACCTGGCGATGACGTGGCATCAGCCCTCTTTTTTGTTTTATCTCCACCTCTCCCGTCCGTGCTCCGCGGCTATCGCCCGCCCGCACTCCCACCCGCCCCCGCACGTCCGCCCGCGCCCAGCGTGCGCCCTAAAATTACTTCCACGTGGCCACAGCCCCAAATTTCAATCAGCGCGCGCGTGGACGCCTTTCTACGTGCTTTACGTGGCCAATGAGTGTCATGGATGACCATTAGGAGTGGTAAACTTATGAAATCTTCTCGCTAATTTAAATACATTGCAATGTAAGTATAAGTTTGTTTTTTTTATTTATTCTTTGCTAAGATTGAGTTTTTCGTTTAAAGAGCTTTTCTTTCTTGTCTTCCTCTGCCTAGTAAAAGGAGTTGCTTCTGGACTACTAAAAGCTTTTCTTTTACCTGTAATTCTTTCCACCAAAGGTTTTACTCGCTTCAAGGATGTACCATAACTATCTGCTGTAGGATGAATAAGATCGTCTAGCTTGGCTTTAAAAGTTGCAACCTTCTGCTGTATCATTTTTAAATTGTTGTCAACCATAGATAAAAAAGTTTCTTCATCAGAAAGATCTTGTAAGATATCCATCATCTTTTGTTGTAATGTTATTTTTGTAACTTTTGATGGAGTGACTTCCTGCTTAAAGTTCATATCAATATTTAAAATTTATTTAGTGTAAATTACCTCTATAGTAGTCCTGTACCTATATCATGAAGTTAGTAATTATATTTTGTTAAAAAGATATACCTGATTAATGATAAAAAGCTTGTGTTTTTGGGTCGTTTCAAATCTCCAGGATCACGATTTTTATTAGAAAATCGCCAAAAATCCACTCCATCACCCCTTCTCCTCTCACCATCTAGAAATTTGTTCACATCCTTCTGTAATATATACACAATAGGAGCTATAGTTTCATTTGATTTAGACAAATTCCAATCTAAATCATCTGCACAAAAATAATCCTTTTCATGGAATTCTTGCACCTCATCAAGCCATGGGGGATCCTAAATGATTTTCTTGAATCAATATGAAATTGAATTAATTGCTTACCTCTGGAAATTGATGTGCTGCTGCCATGCCCGATCATAAAAGAAACAGAAACGTTTTTAGGTCAATTATGGGGCAACCATCCGGGTGGACCAGGGAAGTGTTGGGGCTGTGGCCACGTGGAAGTAATTTTAGGGCGCACGCTGGGCGGGAGCCGCGGGCGGGCGATAGCCGCGGGCGGGAGTGTGCAGCGGCGACGGACGGGAGAGGGAGTGCGCTGGAGAGAAAACAAAAAGGAGGGCTGATGCCACGTGATCGCCTGGTAAGTGGAGAGAGAGTGAATCAAGATGGTGTTTAACGGGAGGCGCTTGGTTATGGTCTCAGTCATCACATAAGATCTCCAAAATCACTATATGCCTTCAAACTTTAAAGCCTTGGAGCTTTTGATCAATGCCTCTCATCTTGAAACTCGCGTAGGAAGTCCTTGTCTTTGAAAGGAAAGCTCCCGTACTCCTACAACTCCAACCCCTTCTCTTGTGAAACACCTCTGCCAAACGAGTAGCGTTTGACAAGCTCTCAACATTTCCATCGCGACAATAATCGAGCAGCAAAAACCATGAAGGATTTGTGGAAAAGATTTTCAAGAAAATGAGGGCGTAATGTTAATCCATGTGGCTTAAAATATGACTAAGTTAAGTTTAGTCAGTTTATTTTACAGAGATTAGTTCACGACTAATCAAGGGCTTTTGGGGGACACGGTTGCTCACAGCCTGTGAGCAGTGGCGGAGAGGGCTCGGGATCTGCTCTGCATCAGGTTCTAACAGATATTCTGTGGAAAGCAAAAAAGGTCTAGGAAATCTGAGTTGAATATCTGCCAGGCCATTTCCAAATGCTTACAGGCCATTTCCAAATGCTTACAGGCCATTTCCAAATGCTTACAGGCAACCATGAGTATGTTCCACGACCACAATGGCTAAAGTTTTGAACTCTTTTAACTTATTATTAAGGTCCCCTTTTAGGGTTCTAGCGAAAGCTTTTTAAAGCATTGCTAGGGTTTGTTCTAGCGAGCGACTATGGTGGGTTTCAGGGATCGCAAGAAGATGGAGCTGGAGGAGGCGCGGAGGGCGGCATGGCGCCGTCGGAGCTCGACGAGGACAGCAAGGAGATCAATCCTCACATTCCTCAATTCATGTCCGCCGCGCCGTGGTATGTCAATGAAGCCAAGGCGACGCTCAAGCACCAGCACAACTGGAAATCCAAGCACAAATCCGGCTGCGCGGCCACGAATGAGCGGCACGATCGAGGACGCAAGACGCACCAGGCGACCAAGTACCGAAAGGGCGCTTGCCAGAACTGCGGTGCCATGACGCACGATGCAAAGGCGTGCCTGGAGAGGCCGAGGACTGTGGGCGCGAAGTGGACCAACAAGAGCATCGCGGCGGACGAGGAAGTCGAGAGCTTGGAGCTGGACTACGATGGCAAGAGTGACCGGTGGAATGGATATGATCCGGCCAGCTACTCGAGCGTGATCGAGCACTACGAGCGCCGGGACGAGGCACGAAGCAAGTTTAGGAAGGTGGAGCAGCTCAAGAAGATGATGGAGCCTAGAGGTGGCGATGAGGAGACCAGTGACGAAGAGGATCACGATCACGACGAGGCCAAAGTTGACGAGAGCAAGCAGATGGATTTCGCGAGGGTGGAAAAGCGAGTGAAGACTGCCGGGGGTGGGAGCACTGGGACTGTGAAGAACTTGCGGATCCGAGAGGACCAGGCCAAGTACTTGAAGAACCTCGACCCAAACTCGGCACACTTCGATGCAAAGTCGCGATCGATGCGCGAGGACCCGCTGCCCAGCAGTGATCCCAGCGAGAAGTTCTACGCGGGAGACAACCAGGACAGGATGACCGGCGAGGCTCGCGACTTTCAGCTGCTAAACATCCACGCCATGGAAGCTTATGCGAAGGGACAAGGCATTCATCCCCAGGCAGCGCCGTCGCAGGCCGAGCTTCACCACAGGGAGTTTAAGATGAAGAAGGAGAAGCTGAAGCAGGAAACTTCGGCCAGGATCAAGGACAAGTATGGGAACGCCGCTTGCGAGGAGAAGCTCCCCGTGGAGCTGCTTCTCGGCCAAACCGAGACGCAAGTCCAGTATGATAGAGCTGGAAGGGTGATCAAGGGAAGCGAGGGAGTGATCGTGGTCGCAGCTAGCAAGTATGAGGAGGACGTCTTCCTCGGCAACCATACCAGCGTGTGGGGATCGTTCTTTGCGAACGGGCAGTGGGGATTCAAGTGCTGCTGGCAGTTTGGCAAGAACAGCTACTGCACTTGGGAGGCCGGGATCGCCGCTGCACAGGCCTCGGCTCAGAGTCTCTTGCGGGAGAATCTAAGAAGTCTTGAAGGTGGAGAAGAGATTATCGTCAAGCGGGTGTGTGATCTTGACGAGAAGAAACTCGAGCAGGCTCTCGAGAGGATAGAGGAGGCCGAGAACGAAGAGAAGGACGAGAGGAAGAGGAAATACAATGCGGCGTCCTCGCACGACGTCTTCACTGCCGAAGATCTCGAAGCTTACAGGATCAAACGCGTCCATTCCGATGATCCAATGATAGATTTCTTGTAAACTTTGTATAGAAATGGATCGATCACTTGCTCCTTTGTGGACGATCCCAAGTGCGAGCGTTCTTGCAATAGTACGTAGAGCTCATCTACACACAAAGTTGGCGAGCTTCCACTTCTAGTCGCGCTAAGATATGGAATATTCTAAAGATGCTTCGTTCCAGAGGGGCCTATGCCCATCTCTTGAAGACGGCGGGCCGCGACCTCGCCCTCGCGAGGACGATCGAGGAGTGGATCAAAAAGGATGGATTGGATGGCGATCTCTACATCGCCAATCTGCTGCTCCATCTCTACGGCCGGAGCGGCGGCGCCCACGACGCCCGGCGAGTCTTCCTCGAGATCCAGCGCCCCAATGTCTTCTCTTGGAACATCCTCTGCCAGGCGCTTGCCGAGAATGGGCATCTGTCTGACGCCACCGAGCTCTTCCACCAGATGCCGCGGCGCGATCCAGTGTCGTGGTCGTCAATCGTCGCCGCGCATGTCGAGAGCAGCAGTCTCGCGCTGGCCTTTGAGTTCTTCGCCAAGATCCCGCAGTGGAGCATCTACTGCGTCAACGCGATCGTTACAGCATTTGCCCGTGGGGGCTATCTGGATCAAATGAAGGATCTGTTTGACAGGATGGTCGATCGCAGTGTGATCTCGTGGACGACGATTCTTACCGGCTATGGCGATCTCTGCTTGCTAGAACTTGCCGTGGAAGTGTTTGACAAGATCCCGCAGCGCAATATCGTTGCTTGGAACGCAATGCTTGCGGCATTTGCCTTAAATGGGCATTTGGAAAAGGCGAGGCGTTTGATGGATGAAATGCCCGAGGCGGATCTCATCTCTTGCGCGACAATGCTGGCGGCGCTGGGAGAGTTTGAGCAGCACGAAGAAGCGGAGTTTCTCTTTAGGAAGATGCCGGTGAGGAACTTGAGGATCTGGAACTCCATGGCAGCGGCGTATTCGCACAATGGTCTCGTCGATCAGGCCGAGATCTTCTTCGAGAGAATGCCACAGCATGATCTCGTCTCGTGGAATTTGATTCTCAAGGCCTACTCGAGGGTGGGATTCATGGCCGAGGCACAGGAGATCTTTGAAAAGCTCCCGAGAAGAGACTCCATCTCATGGAACACACTCATGGTTGCCTATGGAAGAGCAAAGCATTTGGAAATGGCCTGGCAGGTCTTCAAGCGTATGCCTCAGAGATCATCGGTGTCGTGGGCTGTGTTGCTGGAGCTCTTCGCTTTCCACGGAGCGTCGTCTAGGCTTGTGGAGAAGATTTTCAAGAAAATGCCGAGCAGGGACCATCTTTCATGGCTGTTGCTGCTCGAAGCTTATGGTCGTGATGGAAAAGTTGGCGCAATGGAGAGCTTGTTTCAGGCGATGCCTCGGCAATCACTAGCAGCCGGGACTCGTCTCGTAGAGGCGTTTCACGAGAATGGTTTTGGAGAGAAGGGGTTGGAGTTGTACGAGAGCTTTTCTTTCAAAGATGAGGATTTCCTATGCGAGCTTCAAGATGAGAGGCATTGATCAAAAGCTTCAAGGAATCAAGCGGATAGCTCTCCTTTTTAATTCCCATACGTTTTAGATCATGCCTTGGTATATGCAAGGCCTTGGATTAAGCGAACCTGTCATATATCTCGCAAACCAAGGAATTAGAACTGATTTTCTTCTCAGAAAGTTTCGAGGCATTCGTGTCAATATAAGTGAGTCTCTAGATGGAAAAGTTTGGAGCTCTTGATCATGCCGCGTGCTAGCTCTTTACTCCCCTGACGTGGAAATGAAAGCTAATCTCCTCTACAGGAAATCAGATCCAGCTCGTCATAGTTAAAGAACAAGGAAGCCATGGGGGTTTGAAGTCGCCATGGCAGCAACTACAAATCTCAGCCAGCCTCGACCCTCGGAATCCAATACCATCCAATACCATGTGATCATGTGAAAACATCGACAACACGCACATGTCAGCTGATCGAGACTGCCATTTCGATGATCCAACGAAAGAGTAGTGCTTATACCAATTGATCTTGTAAATTTTGTATAGAAATGGATCGATCACTTCGCGGTAGAGTGGCTTGTCTTCGTATAAACGCGCGCTTCCTTGTAGACGATCCCCGGCTTGCACAGATATCCTTCCTCCGGAGCGCAGTGGCGATCTTCGCTGCAAACACACAGCCCTCCGGGCGCGCAGCCATCGCTGGAGCTCACCACACTCCCTCGGATCCCCGACCACTCGCTGGAAAACCAGCCGTCGGGATCCATCTTTCGTCTCACCTCGAGAAACTTTGCGAGGTTCCTCGTCTTGGATCCGATGTTCTTGAAAGTGTGAGGCCGGTTCTTCCCGAGGTGAGGCATGCCATCGTACTTGAACAGGAGGATTTGCTCCAGTTCTTCCATGATCGCCTCGTACGCTTGTGGACGAGCAGAGTCCCTGTGATTGAACGCGAAGAACTCGACGTGCGTCACGTCCCTCTTCTCGCCGAGATAAGCTCTGGAAGCTCTCACGTTTCGCAGCCACAGCCCTCCATAGGTATCGCCGTAGGATCTCTCGCCAGGATGGCTTTCACGTCGCTCACCTGTGACAAAGCTATGGAAATCGAGACGTCGAATAAAAAGGAGCCGTGAGCGTTGAAATCCCAAGTGTTTGGAGCTTGTGGTTGAATCCAACCACGGGGAAGCCTGTGAAGCTGCTACCATCGTTGAGCTATCCACTGCCGGAGGACACCTTGCTCCTCATGGTAACGTGAGCTAGTACGTAGAGTTCACCGTAGCTTGAGCGAGCTCATCTACAAAGCACTCGTGAGTATAAAGTTGGCGAGTTCTCAGGAAGTTCTCGGGAAGTTCTTCCGTACATACCATCTAATCGCGCTCGCTTTGCTGCTGATACCTTCGTCGGTCTGAATCCCGCTAGCGTGAAAACACCCTCGCCCGTACGAGTCACTGGAACTCGATCATCCCTCTTGAGCACAAACTTCTTCACGGATGGAACCAGTACATGTCTCCAAACTTGTGCCTCCTCGCCAGATCCTCCTCCTCGAGCGACGCATCGTCCATCGCCACGGGAGCCCTTAAACATTCTCTGTACGGCAGGTCACATTTGGTCACGAGGAGGAGCAGCGAGAGAAACATTGCTGGCGCTTCTTCTGATTAGTCAGCAAAAACTATTACTAGAATATTCGAAAGATGCTTCGTTTCAGAGGGGATCTCACGATCGAGGGATGGATCAAGAAGAGGGTTGGACGGCGATCTCTATAATCTGCTGCTCCATCTCCACGTCCGGAACGGCAGCGCCCACGACGCCCGGCGAGTCTTCCTCGAGATCCAGTGGCCCAATGTCAACATCCCCGAGGCACAGGAGATCTTTGAAAAGCTCCCGAGAAGAGACTCCATCTCGTGGAACACACTCATGGTTGCCTATGGAAGAGCAAAGCATTTGGAAATGGCCTGACAGATCTTTAGGCGTAAGAGGTCATCGGTGTCGTGGGCTATGTTGCTGGAGCTCTTCGCTTTCCAGAGCGTCGTCTATGCTTGTGGAGAAGAATTTCAAGAAAATGCCTAGCAGGGACCATCTTTCATGGCTTTTGCTGCTCGAGGCTATTATGGTCGCGATGGAAACGTTGACGCGATGGAGAGCTTGTTTTGGGCAATGCCTCGGCAGTCACTAGCAGCCGGGACTCGTCTCGCACAGGCGTTTCACGAAGACCAGGGGTTGGAGTTGTTTCCTTTGAGAGACGAGGACCTCCTCACGATGAGAGGAATTAGTTTTCCTTTACTTTCTCGAGGCAGAGGAGGTTTGAGTTAACCTGAGCTATAAAATCGGATAGTGATTCTGGAGATCTGATTCATACGGTCCTGTGACATACGTTGGTATGAGCAAGGCCTTGGAAGAAGCGAGCCTGTCATATATCTCCAAGAAATTATAAGTGATTCTCTTCTGGAACGTTTCGGGGCATTCGTGTACACGTTTCGAGCTCTCAGTTTTTTTCTCGAAGAATCATGCGGCGAGCCAGCTCTTGCTCTCCTGCCGTGGGGATGAAGGTCAATCTCCTCTACAAGAAGCCGGAGGGCACTGTTCTTTTCCTCGAGGCAAAGAAGGACTTCGTCGATCTCCTCATGAGCTTTCTCGTGCTTCCGGTGGGGTCTCTGATCAAGCTCCTGCGAGCGGGCAACACTGTGAATTCCTTCATGGAGACCGGTGCTGCGAGGCTGTTTGAGAGCATCGAGAAGATGGATCAGTCGAGCATGGAGGTTAGCAAGAGTGTTCTCACCAATCCACCGCCGGATGCTTCCGCGTTTCGGGGAGGAAAGATCCTCGCCATCAAAGGCTCGCAGTCGACTACTTCCCCGGTGTACTATAAGTGTGGGCATCCTAGCTGCTACAATGTGAGGGCTGGCAATGCATCCTTTCAATGCCATCACTGCAGATCTGTGGAGCTGACGATGCTACCCAACGAAGAAAACTCCACCGAAACTGCTGGCTACGTGAAGGAGAATGTGATCTTCATGATCACTGACGAGCTCGAGGTGTACCCGACTTCGACCATCAAGAGCATCGTCCTGCTCAACAAGCTCAAGGTGAAAGCTATGGCCGATCTCGAGAGCATCGAAGTCAGCGTGGGCGCTCAGGAGGTAAACCGATCTCTTTCGCACTTTGATCCAATGTTTCTTTTGACTTCAGGCCTTGTCCCTGCTCAAGGCGTCGCTGGTTTCGAAGACTGTGCTCAACGACGTCTTTAAATCTTACGTTTCAAAGCGATCTTATTATCAGTTCTAGATCAATCACAAAAACCATGTCATGATTTTAGATTTCTCGTTCTTTTCTCGTATAGTTTGTGCTAGTTACGTAAACACTAGAAAAAATGATGACAAAGTTTGTGGAGTTAAGCTTTCTTAATAAATTGGGCGTGTTTTCGCGGGGTGTTCTTCCTGCTCTCGATTTCTCATCCTTGGTGAAAAGTAGCGGCTATGTCGCGTTCGACTCGAGCTGCTTTCCGCGGAGGTGATGCGAGTGAATCTCCTGTACAAGAAAGAGCAGTGGCAAGATTTTGTTCTTCGAGGCCAAGAAGGACTTTGTGGATCTCCTCATGACTTTCCTCGTGCTTCCAGTCGGTTTGCGAGCACCCGACTTGCTACTAGAGATGGAAAGTTAGATCTCCAATCTGTAAAACTATGCTAAGCTACTTATCGTTCAGCGTGTTGTCTCGAACTGACGGCAATGGTGATCGCCTCTCTGACCTTGGGAGGCTCTTGAGAACATCTCGCAAGGCGTAGTAGTGGCTGTCACATTTGTGATCGGATAGCATCGAGCCAGTGAGCACAATCCTGCTAAATCTCGCATCGCGATTGACCAGCCAGAGCGAGCATCCTTGAGCAGCACTGTCACCATGTTGATCTTTCATCGAAGCTCGACCGCAAAGATGATAAAGAATTCCTGGTGAGTATAGCTCCTCATGTTCCTTTACGGTCTTTGTTGCCTCACTCTTTGAAGATTCGTCCTTCTCCATGATTTGGTTTTTTGGATTTTGTGGAGTGGCTTCTTGTTCTGTATAGGCTGCAGTCAGTGCAAACTCTTCTTTTTTCTAACCAGAATGATGGAAACTTACTTGGTTCATCTGAAAGACCACGAAGCTTTGCATATATGGCGTATCTACGCGCTGCTTCCTGCACAGAAGAGATCGCTTGAAGTGTGCTGGCCACCATGTCGAGAAGGCCTGTGCGATTCTCCTCCTCCTTGAAGGCATTCATCCTGATACAAGAAGAAAAATCGCTGTAAGCTAGGAATGTTCTAAGCATCACTTACCAATCGAGCAGAAGTATCTCGTCTCGCAGTCTTTCCAATGCAGCAGCACTCATTCGTGGTATTACGTCATACTGCTTGAAACTGTTCGAGATTATCTTTCCAGTTGACAAGCAAAGACAAAATACAAACCTGTAAAGCTAGCGTTGTCACGTAGCCTGCGCATTCTACAGCCAGACTTTTGGAGACACAGGGTGGTGTTGCAATACCAACGGCCGCAACTTGTTCCGGAGGAATACCAAGAAGTTCCACCGATCGTTTGTGTAGCATCATCGCAAGCAAAGATGCTGTGGCACCACCCAAAGAGTGGCCAACAATACGAAGTCCATACCCCTTTAAAACCACGAAAGAAGTTACTTCACAAAAACATGAAAAGCACAAGAACAAAGATAGGCTCACCATGTTTTCTTGCAAACATTTCCTTAAAGTTTGCACCTCGTTGTGAAAAAACCACCTTGCAGCTTGTGCTGTCCCAAAATGAGCATTGCCCTCGTTGAAAATTTCTTCCTCGCCGTGTGATGCCAAGTCCGTGATGAGATCATGAATCGACTGAGTCCCGCGGATTCCCAGGATCACAGTTTGCGCCCTGTGATCCAACCCGATGTAATACGCAGGTCGCATCACGCTGGCCTTATCCACAAACTTAACAACGTTGCTCTCCTTGAGCATGGAAATCCGTGCGAGCGCTGCCTCGTTTTTCAAGTAGGCTCCCTTGGCAAGCTCCACATAGTAGATAAAATCTTCCACCTTGTGATCAATCAAGAAGGCTTGTTAAAACTTTTCTCCTCCAAGAAAGAAACGAAGAACTCACCAGGACATCGGATTTAACTTGGACTCCTTCGACCACGTCCACAGCGCCTTCGGCAGCATGGCGAAGAGAAAGGAGATACAAGCCGAGCGTTAAATCTCCTAGTCCCCACTGCTGCATGCCATAGTTACTTCTGTGAAGACAAGCAGCGATGTCTACGAGCGAGCGAGTGCTTGGAGGACCAGCGTTTCCTTCAGACTTTCCTTCACACATCCACGCAAACGAGAAAATAACTCAGCTCCATCTCTCTTTTGGTTCATTCAAGCAAAACTCTAGAAAGCAAAGAGAAGAAGAAGATATCTCTCACCTGGTGGCAATGCCTTGTGATAGAGATTCAATGCCGGCTCGAGAATTCCACTAAGCCAAGCCAGCTGCTGCCCCCATCGCTTCTTTTCCCTCGCTGCATTGTTGCTGCCCTCCTCGGAGTCGCTCAGCTCTTCGGGGCGCCCTCGCATCGCCGGGTGCACGGCCGATTGCGAGGCATCGGGCTTGCTACTGCTGCTAGGGCCGCTACTGCTGTGTGGATCACCTGATGAGATAGATCGCCTCCTCCAGGCGTGGATCACGCCCCAGCTTCGCCGCGATGGCAGAGCCTTCATAATTTAGGGCTCTTGCGCTTTTTAGGGCAGAAGAAGCCAAGTCAGCTTTTACGGCATTTTTCGAGATATTTTATTCAGTCAACAATTCACTGCCACGTATCTGCCACGTCTGATTCCCACGTTTTTCTCTTGTGGTAATGGCGTTGCTCGTCGAGCGACCGAGCGCCTTCTGGATCGAGGTGCGCTTCCAGGCATGGATCGCGCTCCCCATGGTCGGCGTCACGCTCCTCCAATTCGCCGTCACGACCGTGGCGATCATGTTCGTGGGGCATCTGGGAGAGCTGGAGCTCGCGAGCGCCGCGATCGCTGGATCGCTGGCCAATGTCACCGGCTACAGCATCCTGGTGAGTGAAATCTTGCGAGAAAGATCGATTGGTGATTGATTCTTGGTGATATTTCGATCCATTTCTCTTCGGCAGCTGGGGCTGGGGAGCGCTCTCGAGACTCTTTGCGGCCAGGCCTATGGCGCCAAGCTCTACACGCGCCTTGGGGTCTACTTGCAAAGGGCCGTCTTCATCGAGTTCCTTGCCGCCATTCCAATCGCGATTGTGTGGTTCTTCATGGAGCACGTCCTCTTGTTCTTTGGCCAAGACCCTGAGATCTCCAAAAACGCCGGGGTTTTCGCGAGATACTTGCTGCCGGAGCTCTTCGCGTTCGTGCTGCTCCAGCCGCTGGACAAGTTCCTCCAGTCGCAAAGCCAGGTCTACGTGATGCTCGGGGCCTCGTTCGTGAATTTGCTGCTCAACGCTTTGTTCTGCTGGGTGTCGATCTACAAGCTGGGGATGGGAATCAAAGGGGCGGCACTATCGGCGAGCCTGGCGAGCTGGATCAACGTAGCAGTTCTTTCCACGGTGGTGGCGTGCACACCCGCTTGTAGGCGTTGCTGGGGTGGACTCTCGATGGAAATGTTTCGAGACCTCAAACAGTTCATGGCTCTCGCCATTCCTTCTTTGCTCATGCTCTGGTAAGTTTTTGCTTGGTTTATTTTCCACGTTTATTGGATTCTTCCTTGCAGTTTGGAATGGTGGTCACTTGAGGCTCTTGTTTTACTCTCAGGGCTGCTGCCAGATCCTCAGCTCGAGACCTCCACCTTCACAATTGTGTGAGTGGCTGCTCTTTTGCCTTTTTCCTCGATGGATAAACTTTCGTTTTCTTATTTTCTACTCCAGATTGAACACGATCCAAATTTTCTTCATGATCGCTTATGGCTTGAGTACTGCTGCAAGGTAAGTCGCAGCTTGATTTTGTTTCACAGTGGAGTCAAATTTCGATTTCTATTCTAGTGTCCGTATAAGCAATGCGCTAGGAGCTGGAGAGACGAATGCAGCGAAGCTGGCATTCAAAACATCCATATTCTTTGCAGCCATTGACGCTGTACTCGTGAGTACTATTCTGTTCCTGGCCAGGCACAAGCTGGGGCACCTGTTCAGCAACGAAGCCGAGGTTGTGAGCTCCGTTTCTAGGCTGATGCCGTTCGTTGTTACAATCAGTATTGTGGATGCGTTCCAAGGGGTTGTCTCAGGTTTGAAAATGGAAATGGCATACGGTGACGTGGTTTAAGATTTTTCTGTTTGCTGTGAACAGGTGTTGCTCGCGGATGTGGATGGCAAGCTTTTGCCGCGTTTGCCAACCTTGGCTCTTATTACGCTGTTGGATTGCCCGTGGCTTACGTGCTGGCCTTCGTTCTACACATGAACGGAAAGGTGGGCCGAAAAGACACTGAGTTTCCTTGTCTGACTCACGTGATTTTTTCACTATCAGGGCCTGATCATTGGGATTTTGTGTGGCCTTTCGACGCAAGCGATCTCACTGCTCACTATTGCTGTAAGAACCAACTGGAACAAGCAGGTATGCCACCCTTAGTTTTTAATCGCCGGTCATGGTTTTTATGTTTCGTATTTCTTTCATGCAGGCACAAAAGGCTTCGGAGCGAATGCAACTGGTCACACCGTTACTGAGTTGATACCGAGTGTAACACTGTCACCTGCATTTTTACTCGCGCAGGGAAGAAAGAAATTCAATAGTTAGTTCTTCAAATATCCATCTGAATTGGTCTTTTATAGCTACCGTGCTTGTTTTGGTGATCTCACTATGTCTGCAATGTCAAGATGAGGAGGAGAAAATTCATCGCATCCAGGCAGATTTTTTCTATATGCAACTTATTATCGACTCTTTCAATCTTGACTTTGCAGTGCTTGGCTGAGGTAATAGTGAGTCCCGTAAACAAATCCACCGCCTAACAGATGTCTCTAGATGGACAACTGGGTGATCTTCCATGGAGAGCGCATACGCAGGATAGACGACGTTGGCTATGACTGGATCCATGCGAGGCCGCTCCACGTCCAGGTAACGTGAGAAGCTTGTTTTGATCATTGATGTTCTCGAGACAACTCTATATAACTTTAAAATTGTTCATTATTAAGTGTAGCACATTTAAATTTGAAGATCAAGACTAAGTCTCAGTTTGAGTTTGAGTCCACGTCTAAAGATGAAAGCCCAAAACAATGAGATAATAGAAAGAAGATTCTAATAGAACTAATGGAGCTATGAAAGGTTAGTGTGAGTAAGGAAGGTTATGTTGATGATATAACAAAGTTAGAATGAATAAATCAAGTGACTTGATGAAGTGTTCAAGAATCTCCCAAAAGTGCATCCCTTGACGTGGAGACACAAGTTGACATGATGTTAATGTCCAGCAGATAGCACGAGACGTTGGCACCAAAGTAACTGAAGGGATGGCCGCGCTCGATCAGTGCCTGGAGAGATTTCATCCAGCCGAGAGGAATGATCTCCAGAAGGCAGAGAGAAGATCTCGGAGACGAGCTCCTGCCCGCCGTTGTCAAACAGGTAGAGTGATTTGAGCTGCTTGGATCTCACATCCTCCTTGCCCAGCTCCACAGCTCGAGGCAGCAGGAACCGACGCTTCAAGAAGTCCTGGCAAGCTTTCTTGTTGGGCAAGGCATACTGGAGAGCGAGCAAGCTCTCGAATGCGTGTAGCGCGGCCATCTCCACGCTTTTGTTGACGATCACGGCATGGGACCTGATATCTCCAAGGAGGGAATCTAGATCGCAGGAGATTGTATTGAAGTTCTTCCCGAGCGACGCCGGGAAGAGGCTGTAAACTCGCTCCCACTCTTGTTGAGGAATATCAATCCATCCGAGGAGCTAGTGCCAGTAGCTCCTCGCAGCGAAGCGGCCTCGAGCAGCTTGGAATCCGCGGGAGCTGGCTGCTTGAGCTTGAATTTGCGCGAGATTGTCGAGATTGCGGCAGCGCGATCGAGCTCCCCGCAAGCATAGGCGAGGAAGGAGGAGTAGCCCTGTGGAGAAGATCTCGCCATCGTCTCCACATCCAAAGCAAGCAAATCATCTTCTGCTATGATCGAATCTAATCCACAGTGCCTCTTACCACCCTTCTAGGTCCATCTGAACAGAAATGACACCTAAAAGTGTCCGGCGTCAACACATGACCGAGACTGTCGGACAACCTCGGTGTAGCGGAGGCATAGAAGGCGACTCTGGGATCATTGCGTAATCAAAGTTTAAGACGCAAGCAGCAATTCATAAAGAATCACATAAAGAAATAGAAGAAAAAATCGCAAAGAATCTGCAAATACCAGGACCTCGATCTTGACATGATAGCTTGTACTCTTGCCAGCTTTGCCAAGCCAATATTCAGTATCACAACTAGTTTGAAAGTAATGGAAGTTTAAATCTATAAAACTAATTAATATAAATAATATTTAAATAAACAAGCGCGTTTTTAATAATCTTGAGAAACTTTTACCTCAGGAAATGATATTTACATTAACATAAATAATCTACCGTTTAAACACTAGATTTTCTTTTGTATTTATCAAAAAATAGATTTAGAAAAAATTACAAGATATCCCCAAAAGTAATTACAATAATTTTTGTATACAGAAACTCTTGGTTTTCTTTAAAAGACTTTAATATTTTGAAATAAAAACTAAATAATTAAAATATCTTGAATTCTATTATATTTTTTCATATTTATCTCGTGATAATTATTGTATTAATATATAAACAATGCACAAATCTTTCCCAATTCGGAGTGCAAAGATGGCACAACTAACATTTGGATGAACTGATGAGGGTAGTGTCCTTAGCAAAGATGGTGCCAACTACACTTGCAACCTGTGGGAGACAATGTGCTAACTTATGAGGTGGATCTTTTCCCCTTTTCAGAATAAGTGGAAGGAAAACGGATGACTGGAACAAATGACATACATTAGAATTGAAGAAAATGCTAACACTAAAGTCCAAAAGCACCTCTTGGTGAAGAATGAAGAAAAAGGGATCCTAGCCAAGGTAAAGTGCCTGGAATGTAGAAAGGCATTATCTGTAGCCATGATTTGATGAATGGAACCTTGAAAATAACAAGATTCTCTTTATTGCAATCAAACCAGGCGGCTCATATGTTGATTGGAGATCCCCGTTTAAGACTAAAAAATTAGTATGATCCTCTAAACTTGATGACTCAGGAATTGATATGGTAAAAACTCGAGTTGATGGCCAAAGCTCAAGTGCGAGCAAGAGGGGCATATCCTGTGGTACAGTTCAGTAGAGACATAACCCTTCATCGAGATGACACTGACGCTGTGCTAGAGAAAGTTAATATCACTCTCCTTGTTGCTATTGACCAATCTCTATTATAACGGGACTGGAACCTCAAATTTGTGTTATGGGAGTCAAGACTGGAGCTGGTACTAAGGCCGGAGTTGAAGAAGAAGTATCCTTAGGAAAAGTACCAGAACAGCTAAATTCCTTATGACACGAAAAGACAATTGTCACAATAAACAACCTTAAGGCCATCATTCTTAATTGATTAATCAATTCCACTAACGGAGACATGATTGCAGTGATGCAAGCTCGGTTTGTGTCCCCAAAACACACAATAAATAGCAGAAGGTCGTGAAGTTCATGAACAGGATGTTGAGGCAAATCACACTTAAGCAAAGGTGAAAGCCAAGAAAGCAAGAAGAGTTTCAATGACCCTAATTTGCAACTTGAAGATCAAATCCATTTGATTTAGAAAACCATGAAGCTCGTGCCGGTGCCCTCCAAACTTTGCAGAAAAAATGACTTTTGGGTTCTGTAGGGCAAGAAGCTTAATTACATGGTTGCTCGATCACCAAACCTGCCATTTGTTACTATAGTTGAAGAAAGTTGCTGGTTTTCATACTAGATTGGGGTCATCACCTTGCTGAGTCATGGAGAGAGAAAAAAATACAAAGGATAAAACCACAAGAAACAAAACGAGATGAGAGGTAGATGTAAATCAAACTATCAGATCAAAGTAGACATCAAAGTAGACTACAGGATTTAAGATTGCTTACCAAGAATGGAACTCATGTATTAGTGTCTAAAACTAATGTTGATTTGCATCAACTTAGGAGAGCTAATGGAAGAAGAGAGCAATGGCCGTTGCTGCGCCACTAGGTCATCACCATTCATTTCTTTGCACTCCACAGCTGCAGTGTCTCACGCCATAATGTAGTGATAGTCGACTTCTGGTGATATTTCCTGCCTCGGATCAAATGAGTGATAGAATGAAGCTGTGGATTTGTTTGAGGAGCTCAAGGTGGGATTTGGAGCTCAAGGACTGGGAATTATTACTGTTTCAACACTGATATGTGAAGGAATCTGTTAAATCTTGTGCAGGGGTATTGAATAGTCTTCTTACTCAATGTTTTAGATTTTTCTGTAATTAATAGTTAACTAGTACTTTGCATACCCATGCACTACATGCAGTACCAATTAACTAGTTGTTTGTATAGCCCACTTATACTTACAAATCTTTACATATTCTTAATCTGATCCAAATGTGATCTCAAGTAATATGACAGTATTTCACTAACAAAACTGCTTATCATGGAAAGTGGAATAATCTTGGCCGATGAGAGATCAAATTGACCATCCTCTAGTGACCAGTAGAAGTTAGTGCCAAGATATAAACCACCAAGCAAGAGGCAAAAGACCTTATCACGAATCAAAAATTTCAAATTGTCTAGACTTAAATCTTACAAACTTAAACAAAGTTTATACTATCATTAAACCTCGATTACAAATAAATTTAGCAATAAACCAGACAGAGCCTTAAAAGAGAATATTCATCTCTTGCGGCTTATAGGCGTGGGAGCTATGTTCAGGTTAGCTCCACAGCCCCGAGAGTAGGGCTTTACGGCAGGTCAGGGAGGGATTGAGGCAAGCGTGTTCGTCGCGGAAGAAGCAAGCGATTGCGCTGAGTGATAGCGCCGCCAAAAGGATACGGCATTTGTTAGACTTGTGGAACAAACATTACTTGCGCGTGGGATGCAATGGCTACTCCTACACCATGAACTACGCAGGCAAGCTAGGATACAATCAATCCTTTGCTTCTCTTCCTTTTTTTGCGAGATAGAGAAAGACTTATGGCGAATGCTTCCTTCCTCTGGCAGATCAAGCGGAGCGCCATGACGAGCTCGTGGAGGACAACGGCGGTCGACCCGCGAGCGCTGATGAGAAAATCATCGGATTTCATCAAAGATCGCATAATTGGGAGGATGGCACCAATCCATGGGAGGACGAGCTCTTCTACAACGAGCGGATCAATAATCTGTCCAAGAGAGTGACGAAAGAGCATATCGATGTGCTCAGGGCCAATGCCAACCCAGATCACATATGCATTCTTCAAGAGTGTTACATGAAGTTCTTCCTCCATTTCATTCTTCGAGAGAAAAGTTCCAGCTCCAATATAAGATCTCGAGAATCTGATGCCGTTCGTTGTTGTGGATGCGTTCCAAGGAGTGGTCTCGGGTTTGAAAAAAAAATGGCATACGGTGACATGGTTTAGATTTTTCCGTCTGCTGTGAACAGGTGTTGCTCGTGGATGTGGATGGCAAGCTTTTGCCGCGTTTGCCAACCTTGGCTCTTATTACGCTGTTGGATTGGTCGTGGCTTACGTGCTGCCCTTCGTTCACATGAACGAGAAAGGTGGGCCGAAAAGACACTGTGTTTCCTTGTCCGACTCACGTGATTTTTTCGCTTTCAGGGCTTGATCATTGGGATTCTGTGTGGCCTTTCGACGCAAGCGATCTCACTGCTCACTATTTCTGTAAGAACCAACTGGAACAAGCAGGTATACGGTGGTCATGAGTTTTTAGTCGGTGGTCATGGTTTTAATGTTTCCCATTTCTTTCACGCAGGCACAAAAGGCTTTGGAGTGAATGCAACTGGTCACACCGTTACTGAGTTGATACCGAGTTTCCGGATTATAACATTCTGACCTGCATTTTTACTCGCGCAGGGAAGTAGGAAATTCAAGAGAAGTCCTTCAAATATCTATTATGATCTCACTATTGTCCGCAATGTCAAGATGAGGAGGAGAAAACTCATCGCATCCAGGTAGATTTTTTCTGTATGTCATTCTTGACTTTGCAGTGCTCTCACCGCAAAGCTCAAGTCCACCACCGAATTGAAGACACCACCTTTAGCAGGTGGAAGATTGCTGAGCACTTGCAAAGGCCAGGAACCATCCTCGTTCTGCATCTTGAGCAGCAAGTCCACGTCTATCGTGTTCCGGATTCCAAAACGCCTGATGAGCAGAATCCTTTTGGCAACGTCGAGTGGTTTCGACTCGGTCTCGTTCCCGATCCGGTTGACGAGCGCCGCCTCCATCGCTCGATAGACAAGATCAAAGTCGGGAATCTCCCTTCTCTCCAAATGTCGCGAGAACCCGGCCATACATGAACAAGAAGTCCTCCTGGCTGAGGTAATAGCGAGTCCCGTATAATTAAATCTCTAGATCAGACTCTCGTTGTGGCGGACAACCGGGTGATCTTCCATGGAGAGCGCATAGGCGAGATAGACAGCGTTGGCTATGACGACCGGATCCACGCGAGGCCTCCACGTCCAGGAGAAGCTGGTTTTGATCGTTGACGTTCTCGAGACAAATCTCCAGAAAATGCATGGCTTGCGCGGAGGTGACGAGACCAAGATCAAAAAGTGTGGAGACACAAGTTGACATGGTGTCGATGCCCGGCGGATATCGCGAGACGTCGGCACCGAAGTAACCGAAGGGATGGCCGCGCTCGATCAGTGCCTGGAGAGATTTCATCCAACCGAGAGGAAGGCACCAGGCCGCCACGCAGGGAAAGAAGATCTCGGAGACGAGCTCGTGCCGGCCGTTGTCAAGCAGGTAGAGTGATTTGAGCTGTTTGGACCTCACCTCCTCCTTGACTCGATCCATCCCCAGCTTCACAGCTCGAGGCAGCAGGAACCGACGCTTCAAGAAATCCTGGCAAGCTTTCTTGTTGGGCGAGGCATACGGGAGAGCGAGCAAGCTCTCGAATGCGTGTTAGCGCGGCCATCTCCACGCTTTTATCGACAATCACAGCATGGGACCTGATATCTCCAAGGAGGGAATCTAGATCGCGGGAGATTGTAGCGAAGTTCTTCCAGAGCGACACTGGGAAGAGGCTGTAAACTCGGTCCCACTCTTGTGGACGAATATCTATCCATCCGAGGAGCTGCCGCCTCGTTGACTGGAGCAGTGACAGTAGCTCCTCGTCTACCTCGCAGCTGGAAGCGGCCTCGAGCAGCATGGAATCCACGATAGGTGGCTTCGTGAGCTTGAATTTGCGCGAGATTGTCGAGATTGCGGCAGTGCGATCGAGCTCTCCGAAAGTATAGGCCAAGAAGGAGGAGTGCCTGCGGAGAAGATCTCCCTTGTCTCCACATCCAAACTTGAGCAAGCAAGCAAATCTAATAATTATCATCTTCTTCACGCTAATTTATACTCTAAAGCGTTGTTAAGGCTACTTTTAGAGATTGTTATTTAGTCAACAGTGGTGGATGCTCGCTTTTGGTATGGTTTGGAGCTATACATGGTGTGGACATTGAGCATAGGGGGTCTTTGTCTCGCTGCCCAGCCAGTTCAAGCTTGCTTCTGAATCATGAGCTTCTACATCTTTAATCATATTCTTTTGCAATCTAGAGAACAAGTTATCTGCCACTGAACGAGGCACGCATTGGCAGCTGCAACTATTCAGTACAATAGCAAAATCCATAGAGATGATCAATATTCTACAGACGTCAGCTAGAAAGTGCCCACAAAAACACCTGTGAGAGATATTTGGCTTGAGGGAGATGCTGCAACTTCCCAGTTCCTTGCCCCGACTGAGTAGGCTAACATTTTGCCACATTTTGTATTTTTGGAAATGTTAAGGTATTCGTAAGCAAATGTTTAATTGGCAAGAAGTTTTGTTTATAATTTCTAAACATTCTTTCCGGATTCTCGCAGCTGCTTGGAAGCAACCACTGTCTCAATGAATGTTTATAGATTAACAATTAAAGAACATTTAAAGAACATTCTTAAAGAATCATTCTCGCCGCATATGACCGAGACAGTGGTTGCTTCCAAGCAGGCGACTCTGCCAGCATCTTGTGGAACATAGACTTGGCATCCCTCATTGCGTAATCAAACTTTATACCGATTCACAAGACCCAAGCAGCAGTTCACAAAGAACCACACAAAGAAATAGAAAAAGAAATCGCGCTGGAACAACAAATGCTGCTTCCTGGCTGCTCACAACAGGACCTCCATTGCAGCAGCCAAAAGAATATTATTATTTAGATTTTGAATTGGTATAATATAATATTGTACCTGTCATATTCGAAGGTAAACTTTTTCTATCTTTTCTACAGGTAGCCCCAAAAAGGAATATTCGTCTGATGCGGAGGCTATCCCTTGAGGCGAGAGAGCGGCGATCTCTTGTGACTCGCTGGGAAGACACCGCAGGTAATGACAGTGCGTCCCGGAAGAAGCAAGCGATCGCTAAGAACTCCTACATTATTGGCAAGCTAGGATACAATCAATCCTTTGCTTCTCTTCCTTTTCTTGCGAGATAGAGAAAGACTTATGGCAAATGCTTCCTTCCTCTGGCAGATCAAACGGAGCGCCACGACGAGGTTTTATCGACCCGCGAGCGCTGATGAAAATCATCGGCACAAAGATGGGTTTCATCTGAAGATCGTCTCAAGTAAGTTTAAAGTTCTTCCTGTCCAAAAAGACACTGTGTTTCCTTGTCTGACTCACGTGATATTTTCGCTTTGAGGGCCTGACCGTTGGAGTGCTAACGTGCTTGTTTTCACTATTGTCATGTCAAGATGAGGAGGAGAAAACTTATCGCATCCAGGTAGATTTTTTCTATATGCAACTTATAATCGACTCTTTCAATCTTGACTTTGCAGTGCTCTCACCGCAAAGCTCAAGTCCACCACCGAATTGAAGACACCACCTTTAGCAGATGGAAGATTGCTGAGCACTTGCAAAGGCCAGGAACCATCCTCGTTCTGCATCTTGAGGAGCAAGTCTACATCTATCGTGTTCCGGATTCCAAAACCCCTGCTGAGCAGAATCCTTTTGGCAACGTCCAGTGGCTTCGACTCGGTCTCGTTCCCGATCCGGTTGACGAGAGCCGCCTCCATCGCTTGATACACGAGATCAAAGTTGGGAATCTCCCTCTTCTCTCCAAACGTCGCGAGGACCCGGCCATACATGAACAAGAAGTCCTCCTGGCTGAGGTAATAGCGAGTCCCGTATACGAATCCGCCGCTTAACAGATATCTCTGGATCAGATTCTCGTTGTGGCGGACAACCGGGTGATCTTCCATGGAGAGCGCATAGGCGAGATAGACAACGTTGGCTATGACGACCGGATCCACTCGAGGCCGCTCCACGTCCAGGTACGTGAGAAGCTGGTTTTGATCGTTGACGTTCTCGAGACAAATCTCCAGAAAGTGCATAGCTTGCGCGGAGGTGACGAGACTAAGATCAAAAAGTGTGGAGACACAAGTCGACATGGTGTCGATGTCCGGCGGATAGCGCGAGACGTCGGCACCGAAGTAACCGAAGGGATGGCCGCGCTTGATCAGTACCTGGAGATATTTCATCCAGCCGAGAGGAATGATCTCCGGAAGGCACCAGGCCGCCACGCAGGGAAAGAAGATCTCGGAGACGAGCTCGTGCCGGCCATTGTCAAGCAGGTAGAGTGATTTGAGCTGCTTGGATCTCACCTCCTCCTTGACTCGATCCATCCCCAGCTTCACAGCTCGAGGCAGCAGGAACCGACGCTTCAAGAAGTCCTGGCAAGCTTTCTTGTTGGGCGAGGCATACGGGAGAGCGAGCAAGCTCTCGAAGGCATGTAGCGCGGCCATCTCCACGCTTTTATCGACAATCACAGCATGGGACCTGATATCTCCAAGGAGGGAATCTAGATCGCGGGAGATTGTAGCGAAGTTCTTCCAGAGCGACACCGGGAAGAGGCTGTAAACTCGCTCCCACTCTTGTGGAGGAATATCAATCCATCCCAGGAGCTGCTGCCTCGTTGACTGGAGCAGTGACAGTAGCTCCTTGTCCACCTCGCAGCTGGAAGCGGCCTCGAGCAGCATGGAATCCACGAGAGCTGGGTCCGTGAGCTTGAATTTGCGCGAGATTGTCGAGATTGCGGCAGTGCGATCGAGCTCCCCGCAAGAATAGGCCAAGAAGGAGGAGTGCTGGAGAGCCCTGCGGAGGAGATCTCCCCGGGGGCCATTGTCTCCACATCCAAACTTGAGCAAGCAAGCAAAGCTAATGATTATCATCTTCTCAGCTGATCACTTCATGCTATGCAAATTTATAAAGCCTATGACTGAAACTAATCATTTAGTCAAAGTCTCATGCACCGAAAGTGTAAAGGTAATTGCCTGTGTAAGTGGGAGGAGTTTGACAATGTTTTGGATTGTAACATTGGAATTTTTCTCCACTTCTTGCCTTTTAAACGGTTCATAATTTCTTGTATGTCCCTACAATCACGGAACTCACCGCCACACATTGCACTGTCGGTGGAAGGTCACTTTTGGAGCTGCACGTTTTGGTGCTGTTGAGCTGTTTAGACTTGCCATCTAGAAAACAAGTTGTCTGCCACTGAATGAGGCATGTATTGGCAGCTGCATACAGTAGCAAAAACCATAAAAATTAGAGATGATATTATAAGCATGTTTCTGTGGCTGATCCAAAAACAGTGTGCCCACTTTAAGGGTTTTTAGTGTTGGGCATCATGGAATATCTTTATTTTAAATTTTATTTTTATAAATCTAAAATAAAATTATAAAACTCAGTTTGTGAGTGGTTAAAATATGGGAATAGGTATAAGAATGGATGGACTAGATTTAGTCCCAAATGAACGATTTATATGCTATAGTACCATAATTAGTGTATTACCTAGCCAGGTTAATATATGTATATACATATATGTATTTACAAACTTTATACCATCCTCCCCTCTAGAAGATGAAAAGGTGATGACAATAAATTAGATGGAACAAAACTGAGCAATTATAAATTACCACAAGAATTTGAAACTCACATAAAACTACCAATAAAGTTGTTAGCAACCATGATTGAAATAAAACCCAAAACCATAGCATAAACATTAGTTAATTATAAAATCCTAATGAACCAATTATAACTTCATGTGCAATTGCCAAATGCTCATTCCAACCTTGAAGCCATAACTTTGAATTAAAGCAAGAAATTTTAAGAATCACTATAATTTATGAAATGCCATTGTAATAAACGATATATCCCATGTTTAAGTTTGGGAGCTAATAATCCTCTGAGACCATTGTTAATTTAGACTTACGGCCATAAGTAGATCCTAATTTTGCATCTTCCCTTCGATTAACATCCAAGGCTTATGTTAATTTAGACATATAACCTATACCTTTGTTTAGCACTGCACATAAGAGGTTGAACTCATTCCATTTATTCTTCATATCTTCTTTATCCCCTCTTTGAAAGAAAAAAAGTTTTGAAGCACTAACTCTATTTAGACGCATTCGTCCTCACTCCATTATTTATGTTTGACCTCATTCCACTATTGTCTTTGTTTAGGGTTATTATATCAAGGTTGAATTTTCCATTCAAATTTACTATGTTTGTCCTCACTCCACAATCCATATCATTTGTCTTTGCTTTATTACTGTATCTACTTGTCCTCACTCTATTGTTGGGGCTGAACTCCTATCTATCCTCTCTACTCCCTCATTCGAAAAAAAAAAAAGTTAGAAAAGGAATTTGTAGCAGTTGACAAGGCAAAAGTAGGGAAATTAAAAGGACAAATGTTCAAAACTTAGAAAATACAGAACTTCTTATCATAAAATACTTTGGCCACCATAATAGAAGCAAAATATTCACACCACTCAACCTTGTCAATGTGAGACATAAAATCCCTAGGCCCCAAAGAAGAGCCGAAAGGGTGCCATATGATAATGGTTGAGGTGGAAGCCAAATGAGTGTAACATATATGGACTAAAAGCTCCAACTTAAAAAGTCGAGAGCGAAAATGGAACTCCCAATAAAGTGCTCGAGGAAGGAGCATGAAACGAGCAATAAGTGAGTTTTTAAAAAAGAGATACAAAAGGATCAACACATGACACGTAGAAAGATCCAAGATGAAGTCTGAAATGGACCCAAGATGGAGTCCGAGATAGACCCGAGATGGAGTTCGAGATGGAGTACAAGATGGATTCGAAATGGATTTCGAGATGGACTTAAGATGGAGTCCAAGATGGACCCAAGATGGAGTCTGAGATGAAGTCTGAGATGGACCCAAGATGGAGTCTGAGATGAAGTCTGAGATGGACCCAAGATGAAGTCTGAGATGGAGTTCGAGATGGATCCGAGATGGAGTCCAAGATGGAGTCCGAGATGGAGTCCAAGATGGAGTCCGAGATGGAGTCCAAGATGGAATTGAGACTGAGACCAAGACCAAGACCAAGTTTGAGTCTGAAACCGAGACTGAGACCAAGTCCGAGTCCGAAGACTATACTACTAATACTAATACTAATACAAAAGCTTAAAGTGATCATCCCCTTAGGGGGGAGGGCTATAGGGGGTTCCAAAAGGGAGAGTGTGGGGGTTGGACCCAATGGAGCCATTTTGGCTAGGAAAGGTTAATTTGGCCTAGGAAGGTTGTACTCAAGTGTTGGGTGATGAGATAACCATTGGGAAGTCCAAAGTTAGTGTCACGAATGTGGCTTCGGGTATCGAAAGTTACCTGTCGACCAGTCATTACGGACACTCTTACCTTACTGCCATGATGGCAGGAGGTCGGTATTGCTGGGCCTGTTATCAGTTTCCCACTTGAGCTAGTTGAGAAACTAGTCAATGACCATGCACTTAAATCGGATAAACATAAGGTAGGAACTCCTTGCTGAGCATATTCGGCCTGGTTTGAGAAACTCCTGTCATTGGCTTGCATTTGCTAGTATCAAGAACCCTTGCGATATTGAGCTTGGTCCGTCAATATTTGCTAGATGATAGCTTACCGTGTCTGCCAAACACTCTTGCTATCATGCCCTTTGTGTTAGTCTCATTTCGGTCCTAAATACTATTTATGGAAAGTGTCTAGATTTGCTCATTTGGCATATTTATGGAATGTAGAGATTGTCCTGAACACAATGGTGTTCGTCCCGTATCCAAATTCGCAATCTAGCACCATTCCATATTTAATAAATTTTGAGCTTATCCCAGAGACTAACTCTTAGTACTAAGGGAGGCTTGGGGTGAAAGCCCAAAGTGTGTGTCCCTCAAGGAGGGGTTGTAGGGGGTTCCAAATGTATAGTAGGGATAGTGGATAGGTCGGGCATGGCCGACCAACCTGAGGTATAGTCTAGCTCCCGCTTATGTGCCTATCCTTGTTCTGCGTCTGGCTTGGGTCTAAGCCCAAGTTCCATTCCATGCTAGCTGGTGGAGTACCTATGTCCTTGCGTTAGGCCATCGGTATGCCGAAATAGCACTAAACTTCGTTTGGCTCCGTTTTGCATGCTAGTCTTGGCATTGGGATGTTGGTTGCTCCAGGACTGTTCCAAGTCACTCCAGGCTTCTGTCCCTTCGCTCCTTGGGCTGTATGCTCAGGAGTTGCTCCATGGTCTAGTTCTGTCACTCCTTGGCTCCATGCTTGGGAGTTCGGCACCATTCCTTCGTTCAGTGGCCAAGGCCCTGAACCTCGGGTTCCACACCACGTGTCCTATGGACATGTGGTATGTGACACATGGCATCTGTCATGTGGCACAAAGACGGTTTAGGTTCCGCTTCGTGGTGTTATCCTATGGTAAATCACCATAGGATAAAGGGTAAAAACCACATGCACTACATTTGGTATTAGAGGATATGTCTCAGCAAGTACTATACAATGAGATTGGGCAACTAGTCTTGTTGCATATGCAGAGATGAAAACGATGATCGAAGTGGGTACATATTTGGGTGCCAAGGCTTTGCAATCGTTCCTTGGGTATGAATTTGGTTACTTTTTTGTACCGTAATAATGTGAGCTTACTCTTGGGCTCATAGGATGGATTTGAGGTATACCATTTTGCACAAGGTTGAGCTTGGGTGAGTGAGTGAGACACATTAGCAACTCAAAGTTACATTTTGAGTTGGTAGGATTAATGTTAGCCTACTGTTGGTTTCATGAGTTGTTCCATGTACCATGGGTAAAAGTAAACCTTCCCTAGGTTTGTTATGAGTGGCAAATAGGCTGGTCCGTAGCTGTTTAGCATGGCATTAGTGGGTCTTTGCTAGGCATGATTACAAATGGATCAATCAAGACTGTAAGGATTAGTCTATTGGTTCAAGTAGTCATTGCCATGCTCTCTCATAAACTTTTCTTGGATTGGACTGAAAGCAGTGCGACGCAAGCTTGAGGTTTAGTCAAAGATGAGACCAAAAAGAGAGTCATCGAGGACGAAGGATCAAACACGTAAATCATTTCTTCTTCTTGAAGAGATGATTTGCAACGAGGTGTTAACTCATTGTTCGTGTTCACATCATGCAATCAAAGAGTCTCTACCTTGATGCATGTTGGAATTGACGGTCTTGTAAATGGTGAGTCATGGGATGGATAGTAGTGAAACACTATACAATTTTATCTAGACTTATTATTGGAAGACTTGGGTTGCAATGCTCAATTCTTTTCTGGGGAACTTTGCTATTGCTTCTTGAGTAGCTTGGTGTTGGATTAATTTTGAGTTTGGTCAGAAAAAGAGTGGCATGAGCTTGACTGTGTTATGAACAAAAATTAGTAGTGTTGAGTGTTGTAAATCTTTATTGATGGGATGTGACATTTATGTTGCATTTTGTCGAATTGAGTTACCACTTGATATCCACATAAACCTTTGAAGTAATGACATAGGTATTACTTATGGTGTTACTCAATTGATAATCAAGTCATTGTGATATTTATATCATATCCATGTGATAATGAGCAATGTGTTTATAAAGTTGCTTGGTTAAACGATGATCAACCCCAAAATGGTTGATAGTGATGTTAGTCTATTTGCACGAAGTAGCATTGAAGTAGCTTTGACTAAATTCTCTATAATGGTCAATTATGCTAAGTTTAAGTTGATTCCTTGTTCCTTGGGGGTTTGCCCATTAAAGTGTTAAGCATTCACTTGCTATGGCTTGTTGGTTTATCCATTAACACTTGGAGTAAATTCTTGGATGGAGAAAATGTGTAATTGAGGCATTGATATCACTAGCACTTGTGTTAGTGAAAGTGATATTATTATTTTAAGTGATGAGGAATTTTCCCTAGACCTTGATTT